GGTGCGGTCGCCGCTCCAATAACGTCCGGCCGCCGCGCCAGACTTCCGGGGGGCGGGGCAAGATGGCGGCGGTAACGGCCTTACCGGTCTCCCTCTCGGCCAGGTTTAAGGGGTCCGTCGGGGCCCGGCGCGCTCGTTACCGGCCGCGGGGTGAGGGGCAGGAGGGAGCCGAGGGCTCGGCCGCAGCTCCCTGTTCACCCTGAGGCTGTCTGCGGGAGCCGGGCCCTCCGCCGAGACCCGCGGCCTAGCGGCTGGTGCCGGGCGGGGGAGGAGCCGGGGGCCGGCGCTCGGCCCCTCTGCGGGAGAGCGGAGGCGGTGCCGTGGCCGGGCCCGTTTCGGGCGGCGCCGGGAGGTGGCGCTGTGGGTGCGGGGCTGGGGCCGTCTGAAGGCGGGCGATGCCTCTCCGCCCCCGTTGTGGCTGCGGGTGCCTGGGGCCGTCGGTCAGCATCTGGGGGAGCGAGGGTGGTGCGGGGCGGGGCGTGTACTTCCTGCGACCTTTGGCGGGTATTGCTCCGTTACCGGTCGCTGCGCTCAGGGCTCCGGTGCACGCAGTGGAAAAGCTTTAAAAATCATTCTCCAGTATGGGTTACATACAGCTCGTTGTGGGGTTGTGCATGGCTACCTTCTTCTCCCCCCCCTTCACCCCCCCAAAAAAAACCCCACAAAACAACAACCATAACCGTTAATTGCTCAATTTCTATATAAATTATGTATATATACACAATCATTTAATTTCACGTGTAATTGTAAATAATTCTTACATATTTATATATTGGAAAGAGAGCAGCTCTAACAATCCTCTGCTAAATCATCTCCCTGAGCACCACATCCAGATGGTTTTTAAAGATTTTTTTTTCCTCATTGCTGTCAACCGTTTTATGTGTGCAGAAACTGACTTTTAAGATCATGCTATTTAAAAAATAGTAGATATTTCATCACTTCATTAATAAGATTTTGATACTTTCCGTTTTAGATCCTTTGCATACTTTACAGTTAAAGACCGACTACCCCAGATCCTCACAAAAGCTATTGACACTCTGCATCGACACAAAAATGAGTTCTTTGAAGAACATGGTGAGGTAAGAATAAGGTTTCTGCTTGCCTGGGATTTTGCTTTTCCCTGACTGTTAGAGATCCCTTCTGTGCCTTCGTGTTTTCTGTTCCCCTTTGTTAACCATAAGGTCCAATCTAAAAAGAAGTCCAATGTGTGATTAATTTTGGGATGTTATGCATAAAATGAATGTCGTTCACCCAAATGTGTTTGGATGAATCGAGCTCGGAGTTGTTCTGGGACTTATGCGTGGCAGCTAAGACTTACCACTTACTGATTTCCTGAAAGATTGCACTATGTTGCTATAGGAATAAATATTCAGAATAGGAACTTTTGTTCTTTGCTTTTTTCAGAAGGGTGTTGAAGCAGAGAAGAGAGCTATATCCTTCCTTTCCAAATTACGGAATGAACTGCAAACAGACAAACCTGTGACTCCCCTAGAAGATGAGCTGCCTGATGCTGCCCTGTGGAACCAATACCTAGACTACCAACGTAATCTATTAAATGGAAACGGAGAACCAAGTTGGTTTCAGTCCCCTTGGTTGTTTGTAGAGTGTTACATGTATCGAAGAATTCATGCAGCATTAGCACAGAAGTAAGTATTTAGTTTGGTGTCTTCCTCTGTGAATGGGAACTGCTGAATCATGGCCTGAACCTCTGATTGATCACATGAGGCGAACACTGAGTCAGCCACAGGAGCACAGGTGAAGGCAATTCACCTGTGCTGCTGGAAGGGGTGGAGCCAGGCTCCAGCTCTTCTAGACCTATTTAAGAGCTGGCTACCTGTGGGGAAGGATCTCTTCTGGAGATCCGTTCTGCTGGAGTTTTGTAAGTGAACTCAGGATACGCGTAAGCTTTCTATCTATTCTCTTTTAGTTATTATAATCTGCTTAGTCAAACTCTCTTGTTTATTTCGTAGTTATAACATCTTAATATTCATTGATTATATACTCTGCAAAACAGTATTGTTTCCCATTTTTATTTTGGAAGAAAGAAAGACTATAGGAAGTAAGACGAATCAGAATTTTAAGCGTTTACTACATTGATTTCCCATTGTCTCACACCTCATTTAAAATCAATGTTTTTCTACTTTCGTTCAGTACGTTTTGAAGGTAGTATTTTTTATTATGCCTCAGTTTCTGTCTTAGTCTCTACGAAGTCTCTCAAGTTTGATTGTTTAGCTTGACCTTGCAGACTACTGTATAGTGAGATCTTGGAAGTTATTTAGTATTTCTAAAAGTCTGGAATTGTGTTTTGAGGTATATGTGAACCTACCAATCTGTTGGGCATTCTAACTTGCTTTGCTACTGCTAGAAATCTGAAGTTCTTACTGCAGAACACCCAGCTTCAATAACCCATGTTGTTCATTCTGCACCATCATCTTAGTTTCAGTTGTGTTTGCAGCCCACATGCTGCATCAACTTAAGGAGCTGATCCTGGTTAAATATAACTTGGCAGGAGTTTGTTGTGCTGGTATTATGGAGAGGTGCCAATACAATGTAAAGGGATAGGAATTAACTGGTTTAAGCTCAAAAGCTTTATGCGCTGTGGAATTGTCCTTAGCATTATAGAAAGAGATAGAAACACTGTAATGGATTTCTTTGTTTCTGCTGGTATATTGCATGATTTGAAATCTTGTAGCAAAAAAATCTTCTGGATTGCTCTTAAAACAAACAAACATTTTTCCTTAGTAAGCCTTACATTTCTTGATCTTATTATTTGTTTGCTCTTAAGGTTCAATCATTTGTCAGAAAGTATAACTGCAGATATGGTTCTTACTGTAGGTTGACAATTCTAATATATTGCAGGAGTTGAATTGGTTTGTCAACTTGGTCATATTAATTTTCGGAAGTCTTAGTTAAAAGCTTTCATAAGAATTACTAACCACTGTAAGAGACTTTGGTATGGGAGATACACTTCAGTAGGCAAAAATCCTATTAAAAATGGGCCCACAATTCACTGTGCATGTGAATTCACTGTGCTTTTTCCCTTATATTGTATAGTTTTATTCATCTGTGTATGAAAAATGGAGCTCATAATTGTTACAGTATGTGCAGTTGTGATAGAACACTTGTTCATTTTCAGAGTATGTTGCTAATGATTTCAAGATGTCCTGTGTGCTATTTCTTCCAGTAAGATATGTTATCAAGTTTTTATTGAGATATGCAGGAATCCAGGATGATGAGTTGAAACTGGGAAAATCTAGCAGGAGTCCTTAATGTGGGTTAAAAAAGCTGAGCTCTGACCTTTCCTTCTCAAATGCTTCAAGTTCTAACATAGAAAATGTGGAAAGTATGTTAATACATTCATTCTCTTCTTATTTTTAGCCCACCTATTGGCAGCTTTGATGTATTTAAGGAAGGAAAGGCTCAAAATTTCTTTGAATCCCAAGAGGCCATTATTGCTTTATGCACTTACTTCCAGGAACTTCTTAAAAACATCAAGGATTTAGATGAAAAGCAACTTCAGGGGGAACTTTTTAAACTACTGCAGGTAAACTTGTGCTTCTCGGTAACAAATGAAAGCTTGAGGTTAGAAGGAATCTGAGTTTGTATGGAAATAAAAATACAGCTCTTATGTTTGTAAATATGTGATGAAATCCTGACAGATGTACTGTATTGCTACTTTGGGAATGTTTATGTTTGGGTCACCTGTATTAAGTTTGGTGTTTTCCTTATACCGCTGATGTTCACTGTGTATTTGAATACTTAGCTTGTTCTCCCTCAAAAAAATAATAAAAAGAAAATCTCTAAAACGTTTGAGTCAATTTCCAGATGGCCCTTTTGTTGTTTAACCATAAAATTTTAAAGCAATTCATTTTGCCATCACTTGAAAAATCTTTAGATGTATGTGGGCCAGAAGTGCTTTAAAAGCTTATAACTCTTCTTGGCAAATAATGCATTTGGGTAGAGTACAAAATATCATAGGATTATAAGTTATATTGTTGGCAACATTGCACATGAACTATTTGATAAGCCCTTGTAAGAAATTCGTTAGAGTGTACTTGAAGTATTCATGGAAAAAATATTCTAAATTCTGCTTCTTACTCAACTTCATCAAATAAATTAACATGCTTTTATTACTCCTTTTTTTGTCTTCCCTCTGGTTTCTGGAATTACAGTGTAGAAAATATACATTATAAGTTTTTTGGTGTACTTCTGTCAATCTGAAATGTCAACTAACATGCTGATGCACGTTTCTGATGCCTGCAAAAATGCAGAGCACTGTTTAGTTTCTTCCAAGAACTTTTTTTCAGTATTGAGATTATTGTACCGGAAGTTGAATTTTATTTAAACTTGGAAGAAAATGTGGATTTAGAGCCTTTATGTCCCTAAAATAGAAGCAAAATCTTCAGGTGTATGTGATATTTGAAATGTAACTATAATGAGGCTTACCAACTGTGATTTTTGTGTGTTTTCTTTCCTCCCCCTCTTTCTAGGTGTCACTGTGGGGCAATAAGTGTGACCTTTCTTTTTCAGCCGGTGAGAAAAGCTCTCAGAAATCTAGTCCTTTACAATGCCTGGAAGACATGGTACCTTACATCATAGTGAATGACATGGAAAAACTTTGGTCACTACTTATAAATGCCAAAACAAGGAATACAGATAAGTGTACTGTTAGAGTTGATGTAATCTTGGATAATGCTGGATTTGAGCTTGTAAGTGATCTTGTGTTGACTGACTTCTTGTTGTCATCAAAGCTGGCCGATGAAGTCCATTTCCATGGAAAAAGTATTCCGTGGTACGTGTCAGACACAACAAAGAATGATTTTAACTGGACTATTAAACAGCTCCAGTCAGCTAATCATATGTGGATGTCTAGATGTGGGATAAACTGGGAGGGCAACTTGAAAAAGGGCGTTTGGGTTTACCAAGATCACATGTTTTGGACTTTGCCACATATCTATTCCAGCATGGCCGAGGTTGCTCCTGATTTGTATGCTGATCTACAGAAGTCAAATTTGCTTCTTTTTAAAGGTGATCTAAACTACAGAAAATTAACAGGTGATAGAAAATGGGAGTATACTGTGCCATTTCATCAGGCCTTGAACAAGTTTCATCCTGCACCTCTCTGTAGTTTAAGAACGCTGAAATCTGACACTCAGGTTGGCCTGAAGCCTGGGCAGGGTGAACAAATCCAGGCTTCTGAACCAGAATGGATGATAAGTGGCAAATATGGGGTAGTTCAGTTTGATGCTACTCCCTGATTCCAGTTAAACGGTTCCTAAAACTCTAACAGCCAGATGTAGAAGAGTTGTGACTGTTTTTTTTTGTTTGGCTTAAGCAATGATTTTTTTTTTTTGTTTGCCCTTTTTTCCAAATAATTTGTTGTTCCTTAAGACTTTGATGTTCCATAAAAATTTCTGAGCTGACTTTGTATACATAAATCGCTCTGCATTTCAATATATACTTTTTTCTAACACAAGTGGCTGATGTCTAAGATGAATATGGCTATTTTTTTTTTTTCCCCTCATCTGTGGGTGTGAGAGTTTATGCCCAAGAAGTGAAAAATCTACTTCAGAAACCATTTCCTCAATCACATCTAAGCATGTATTTACTTCAGGATAATTTGTTCTCTATGTGCCACGCATTGCATGGAAGTTAATATTTTAGCAAGTACATAAATAAGTTCTTATGAATGTGGTCATTGCAGGGTCATATTTTAAAACAATTTGGAAGAGTTTACTTGTACCTAGACTTCATCACATAGGTACTTTTTACATGTTGCTTGTGTCAATGGACAAATCACGTTCAGCATTTTTAAATGGTTGTCTTTATTTGAATATAGTTAGCAGTATGTTAAGATGAATGTTTTTAGTAAATATTGATTTAGAATTTGAGAACTAATTTTTTTTATTTTAAAATATGAATGAATGTTGCTATTTATTTTCTTGGTAAGAGGAATGTTATCCTATCTGGTAAGAAAATCAGTAGGAAAAAGGACAATTTCATTTTAAGAGGGTGGAAGGTATTATTTATTTAAGGGTCTCTACCAAAAACAAGAAGAAAAACAAAAACAACAACAACAAAAAAAAAACAACAAACACAAGATTGAATTGAAGGTGGCCTTTACATTAGTGACTGTGGTTGAAGCATTTTTTCCTCTTTCAACTTTTATATATTTTAGAAGGATACCACAATTTATATTGGGGAAATGCAGCCCCAGTTGCACTGAGAAATACAGTGTATGTTAGAGATATATACCATACAGGTTGCTGCTTATTGGAGTTACATCCCAGTTGCTTCTCCTCCTCTACTCCTGTGTCAGGATACCTCACACTGAAATTGGGTGGGAATTCAGTAATCTTTTTGTGATATTTCCTCCCCCCCCTCCCCCAGAATGTAAAGAAAGGAGAAGGACTTCAGTAACTTTAAAAAAAAAAAAAAAATTAAAAATGGATTCTCTCAAGTCTTAAAGTACTGCTGGAATTAGGGCTTTTTATAGAAGAGCTGCAGGTTTGTTGGGAAATGGTGGTAAAAGTCTTTCTGTCTGTGATGTTGTCCAGGGCTTCTAACAGCAGAACTTGCCCCTGGTAACCAAGGACATTGTTATTGAAAGGAAGAGTGGATGATAGGCAGAGAATCTTCCCCTTCTGTTTTATAGATACAGTGAAATATTACACAATGAATCAGAGAACACCAAAGAGTCCTTATTTTACTACACTTGGAATGCTTTGGAAAGAGAATTAGAATGACTCTGGTGCAAGTTGGATTAAAAGAAATTTCTTCACTCATGGTTAAACTAAGACAGGAGTGAACTTTAGGTCTAAAGAATTGGAAGGGGAAGATGGAATATTTTGTAGCTCCTTTGGGCTTTGAGATAAAACTGGAATCCCCTTCTGCTAAGTGAAATCACTAGCAAAGTATGCCTCACTTATCATTCTAAAATGGACAGAATCAGTTGCTGCTACAAGAGACTTTGTTCATATATTAAAGGTCTATATAGTAGTTGAATGTGCTCCAGTTAATCATGACTTTGATTATTTGTGTTTGTGGTTTTCTTTCTTCTGACATCTGAAAATATAGTAAAATATATTAAAGTTGCAAGGTCAAATATTCAAAAATTAAGATGCTTGGAATTTCTTGAGGCACTGTGATATTGGAGGTGGGGCTCTAGTTTTGAGAGGCGGGCTTAGTACTGTCCGTCTGCCTTGTACCACTGGCTTAGTACTCTTAAAAGATAGTTTGGTTAGATTGCAGTTGGACTGGATGATCTTTAACATCTTTTCCAACCTGAGCAATTCTATGATTCTATAATCTTAAGTCACTTCATTAGAATGTGTAAGTTAGAAATCCAGTTAAGAGAGCTGAAGGTCAAATAGCTCATCTTAGTCTGGAGGGAGCTCAAGGAGGCTCCAGCTTTGGTGCTTTGATAAAATACATAAACGTCATGATGAATTTGAGCACTGGAGCTTCAGTTTCTCATCTTTGAGGAAGCTGTTATTTCAAATATTTCAAATTATTTCAAATGCACTTTGAAGCAACAGCTTTGGGTCAAGAACACATACAATTTTGATGTTGTAGAATACGTGCAATAAAAACAAAATAATTAATGAAAGAACCTGATTTGTTTGTGTACAGTTTATTTGTATGGCGCTAGCTTCATCTGCTGAAGAGGTTGAAAAGTGTGTAATGAAGCAAAAAGGCTTGTTTTGCTGTTAAGGCATTCCTTTGCTTAAGAGGCGAATCTATTCCCAGTCTTTGCAGATGCTGGGAAACTTGTTTGCATTTTTATCTGGCTATTAATCTGTCTCTGTGTTCCCAAGTTGCTTTCTGGCTCTCTATTTCTGGAAACTCAATGCAATAAGTATTCTGAAGTCGTGATAAATAGTCCTACAAATTCTAAACCACTTAGGAAATGCATCAGTGGTTGCACAGTAGTACTGAGTTTTCTTGTTGGAGGCCGTTGTGTTGATGTTTGTGGGGAAGCAGGATTTCCTGAGTATTGTAGGACACGTAGTTCTTAGATTAGCACTTGAAATGTAACGTAAGGCATGATACCACTCTGAGGGGGGGGAAAAAAAAAAGTTGTTCTCCAATTCATAAACTGAGCATATATTTAGGCCCTCATAAAGAGAAGTCTGGAAATTTACATGTGACAATTATACGAAGAATGCAAAGCCATATCTTCCAAATTGCTTGACTTCCCATAGCTGTAACTGTGAAGTACCATTTATTGACAATTTAATATGCATCATACCTTTCTGGTTGGCTGTATTGTTGTAAAATTTGCATTGCTGATAAGGAAAATAAGTGATACTGAAATGCCAGTGTTGTATTCTCCTGTGCCACGATACAGTGTTATTCTGGTGAGGCACTGTTCTCTCTGCTGAGCTAGTTACAGTTCAATTGAAAATACTGTGTCCACTTAGGAAGTCCAGTTACAGATATTCAGTGTTTACTTGTGTTAATGCAGCTTTGTGAAAGGGCAGCATGCAACTACAGCATTTAAGTGGAATTTACTGTTATTAGTATAAAGCATATATTAAAGCAATGGCTTATGCTATAATACTGCATAGTTATTTTCTTGAGTCTTCAAGAAAGTTGCTTCTGTACATCAGTCACAACTGATTGCCCAAAATGCTTCTACAGCGTAACTCAGGAGCTACTGATTTGTATAACAAATTCTTGAGGGTTTTTTTTCCCCATATGCCACTTGATTACTTACATCAAGTAAAAATAAGGGCATTTTCAGTGATTCTAAGGACCACAGACCAGTGTCTTTTGACTCTGTTTTTTGTTCTACCTTTTCAGCAACTGCATTTGTAAATCAGTTTTTGAGAGATAGGGATGACTTCCATCTGTGATGAAACAGTAGAAAAATAGTGTCACAGGCACAAAGAAAACCAGTATATGAAACTAAAGACTTGACAATTCATTAGGTAAGATATATACAATAATTCTGTATGCATTTGAAGCTGTAAGATGAGGCTTTGTAAAATAGATGCAGAAAATAAGTTGACTGTGTGACTGGAAACTGTTTTAAGAAACAAATTCTGTAACTGTGTCGCAAATGTTTTAATGGCTGGAAAACCAACTTGAAATAATTCAGGTCTGAGTTCCTGGTATTTTTCCTCTGAAATGGATTTTATATAATGCCAATAAAGCTTATTTATCCACTGAAGTTTTGAAAGAAATAGATAAGAGTACCTTATTTTTTTCCTTAATACTGCCATGTCTCAATAAAAGTTTCACCTTGTTACAATGCCAATATTGTTGTTTGTTTCAAAACTTTGAGAATCTGTGAAATAAATGTGACAATTTCTTCCTAAGGTTAGTGTAGCTGGCGGAGTTTACCAGTGTTGTTTCCTAAACTGATAGATGCTCCTTATGTTTTCAGCAAAAAATGAAAGTATTTCAGTGTTTCAATCCATGCAACTACAATGTTTGAAAAATTATTTTGTTTTATATGCGCTACTGATGTTCTGAAAATCTTAATTGTTGCTGTTGAAGTGGTTGCTTTAAAATTCATAGTGTATTTCAATTCATGGTTGAACTACTTAATCTTTGTTTGACATGAAGTATATTTATCCCCAGTCTTCTGTCAGCGTATGAAAAATATTCACTCTATTGCACAGAAATTACCATCATTATGTGTTTTTTTTACTCTAAAAAATTACATTGTATACAACATAATAATCCTGAGGTGCAATTTTTTTAATAGAATTGCTCATTTTTAATTCAATATTTTGTTTGCTCAGAAGCCTTGTCTATCCAAACTTACAGATCAAAAGTATAGAATGATTTTGTTTTAAGGCCAAAATAACTTATGACTAATCTAAAGAGTTTTATAAGAAACTGAAAATGTATTGTTTGAAATGTTTCTTTTATTTCTATACAGTATGGCAGCCAGCACAGTAGGTGAGTCTTTCCTATACTGTGGACACCCTTTGTTGGTAGTGGTTTGTTTGTTTGTTTTTTTTGCCTGAAGAACAGGTCCAAGAACAGGTTTTCAAACCGTTCTTAAATTTAATAAATTTTATTGTAGCTGATTCAGATGCATTTCTATTTCTATTACCCCTGGAAATAGAAGAGGTACACTATTTCATAAATCAGCAAAGGCTAATTAATTTAAATTCTGGCTCAGTTTCACAGTTGTGAATTCTGCAAATAAATTCTAAGGAGGTGTTTGATTTATACTTCCTGTACCTGTTTGGCTTATTTGTCTTTTTCTCCCTCACTTCTATGAAATAACTGTCATATTATGATTGTTTAAAATAAATGTATTCAGTATTTCTATGCTGCTTTTATCAATTTCCTGTAAACTTCTTTCAAACTTCCTATGAAGACATTGTTATGCTTGCACAATTTTTTTCATCTTTTTCAGGATTCTACCCGTTTCTTTTAAGTCTTTAATGAAGTCAAATATTTGGAGCTAAAGAGGAGACTAATGTAAGATATACAGACGTGTATTAAGGGGTTTAAAGACCCCTCACAATGTCTTCTCCAGTTCATCTGAATTTTCACATGGGGTGAGAGGATGGAGTTGAACTCAGTATTTCACAAAAAAAAAACCAAGCAACCCAAACACCTGCTATTTTGTTTAGGTAGAGGAAGAGCTAGACTTTATAAGGCTAGTAGATCCCTAAGTTTGTCTGCTATCAGATTTCCAATAGTGCCTGGTACCAGACATAACTTACACAAACACAAACATTCGTAATCCTATTAGTATTCTCTCTTCTAGTTTTCTTGATAATATAATTGCATTAATATCTTTTCTACCTTGAAGTATGTAAATGCATCAAGAAGCTGCCTCCAGAGAGTCTCTCCTTTTAATTGAAGTCATAGTTTCTAGCATTTGATCTCTATATTAAATCATCTGCTGCTAGTCGTGAGCTAGACTTCGGTGTCAACAGCAAAAGAGAAATGAGAACAAGTTCTGTCTTGATTTTTTTTTTTTTTTTTTTTTTTTTTTTTTTTTTTTTAAGGAGATATGTTGAACATAAGGCACTCAGAAGAAAATTTCTGTGCTGCAGGATGTGATTTTTGGTGATGGGTAGTGGATAGCACAGGTTGAAGTTGGACATATTGAGTATCTGGAACTGATACTTTGTGAAGGCAAGCATAAGTCCTGGCTTATCATCCCCCTCTGACTTTGATGCCCAGTGTTTGTAAAAGTTGTTATTGTGGATGCCCCATCCCTGGAGGCATTCAAGGCCAGGCTGGATGTGGCTCTGGGCAGCCTGGTCTGGTGGTTGGCAAACCTGCAGGTAGCAGGGGGGTTGAAACTCGATGATTGTTGTGGTCCTTTTCAACTCAGGCCGTTCTGTGATTCTAAGAAAAATGTGTTCTCAGCTATTTTAGCCAAATTTGAAGACAGATCCTGAAGATTAAATCTACTCTTTCTTCTGAAGAGATTTCATTTTTTCTTTTAATGTTGCTAATGTAAGAGTCTCTTTTACCTCGGCTCTATTTGCTTTTGCATGAATGCCTGAAATGCATATATGTATTCACCATATCATTTGGAATTGATATGCATAAAGAAACCAAATACTTCACCTTCTGAGCATGTTACTGATGCAAATGGCTTGAGGTTTGTAGGTTTTCTTGGTGTAGTGTCCATCAATCAAGGACTATCATTTTCAAGATTAATATTTTGATTCAGCCTTTTAATCAATTTTTATAATGTATTTTTATATGCCAATATCTGAGGATAGCAGAATTAATGAAACAACATTTTCTGCTTAAAGATTAGAGTGACTTTATTAAGTACATGAACTCAAGATTTTGCATAACTATTTTCTCAGGGTGATGAATCCTGTTCATGTATTTTCTGTAATAGAACGTGAATTATTTCATTCAATGTAAATGATTCCCTGAAATTAATTTTAAACTAAACATTCAGAACTAGTCTTTCTTAAGTTTTTATGTTCCCTCTGTAAAGAGAAACATTGAGTCCTTTTTGAGAGCTCTACCTGTAGAATTTAGCAAATAAGCTTTAAAATATTTTAAGATTTATGATGCTCTAATAAGATACTTAGTGAAATGTCTTGAAGGTATTGCACTCCCTCAAATTATCACAGTCTTTTCAGTGGTGTATGAAATTTCTGCTTTTCCTCATCTTTATTCTTTCCCCTTTTGTTATTCTCACTATAGTTTCGTATATACATATATTTTATTCCAGATAATTTTGTAGCATATAATATATGCTATCTCTACATCACTAAGGGTGTAGAAGTAGCTGAAGTTTGTCTCTCGAACTAGCTGTGGCACTGCAGGATTAGTGATGGGGGAAGAAATGCACTCAAGCGCGTAAGAAAGTTGGGGGAAAGTTTCACAGTGGTTTAGCTACACATCTGTACAATGCTCTGGTAGTGGGACAGATTGGGCCGCAGTCAAATACTAAACAAGAAATCTTTGTCTACATATATGGAAGGTTTATGCTGGCTTTTATGTGAGACCACCTGTATGAATTCAGCCTGTCAAAAATATCGAATGTATTTGAATTGCAGAATGAGTTTTGATAGGCTCAGTGCTTTGTAGCATGTGGCTGTAACACCTTTGATTTGGGAACAGCAAGGCCTGCACCACAGCACAGCACTGAAGCACAGTGTGAGGCTGAGCCCACAGCAACACTGGCAGACCCTGTGCCAAGCCCTTTGCTGCACCCTGCTAGTAAGGAGCTGTTCTCTGTGTCTGATTGAGCCAGACCTTATCTTTTGGAGTGATGCAAGGAACAAAAACATGATGTGCTGGTACTGCCTGATGTAGTTAGCTACTGTATGTATTGCTTCCAAATTACTTTTCCCTATTCATTACTACTAGCTTGTACATGTTTTGCATTGTTTACTCTCTGACCTTCCCCAGCTTGGCCTGTACTGTATTTTGCTCTGTACCATTTCCTTTAAAGTTCCTAATCCACTATTGTCTTTGTCAGCCTTATCCAGTCATTCTTCTCTTTCATTTAACAGCATTTGAAATTATAACAACCTGGCTTTTCCCAATTGCACACTGAGATGGGGCCACATGGCTACCTCTGCTGCATGTTGCCTGGCCAGGGCCTCAGCACAACTCAGCCCCACACCTGCTTCAGTGTTCTTTCCTTTGTGCTATTCCCAGTCTTATTTTCTCTCTTTAATACACTCCCCCCATCCCACCCCCCTTCTTTTATCTGTTCAGTGCACATTGCTCCATGAGGCAGATTCCATCATCTAGCTCTGCACTTCAAGCGATGCCACATTTTAAAGTATGTTGAGTATCTACACTGGCACTGCTGTGTGTGGATGGGGAGAATTCTGTTATTGGCAGAAAGAGTGACATAGCGTCAGGGGCACAGACAGGAGGAGGAAAATAGAGCAGACTTGTATGTTTAGGTAACAGCAAACTGTCCTTAACACAGTTTTCCTTTATGTTGAGCCTACAGCCTGAGAGTAGCATACATGCGCATGTCTCTAAATCATGAATTGGTTATTTACAGCTCTCTTCTAAAAATGAGTGAATAATAATACCAGCCCTAGCTTTTCAGTTTTCTTCTCTAGAAGAAGAAACTGAAAGAAAGTTGTTATACATCTTGAGTTCAGTGTGAGTCCAGAAATCTGCTGAGATTGCCCTATTCCTTGGAGGCATTGTGGCAGGCCCAATTAAGTAGTTCACAAAATCTCCACGGTAAGAGATATACAGCAGCAATACACATATCTGGAGGTTTTTTTCTTTTTTTCATGCTAGTTCCTCTGCTCCCATGTTTATCTACTTGATTTGGAAGGCAGGTGAGGAGGAGGGCCTCCCTTGTCAGCTTCAGATCTTTTTGCTGTAATGAAGGCAGCCTGCTCTCCCCATGCTGTGTGGAGTGCTCGTCTCACAATTCTGGAGAAGAGACTGACTGTGCCTGAGCCAAAAGCATGGTGCTGGTCAAACATCATTTACTCTTCACCTTCAGTTCTGAAGTTCAGTTCAGTTTGCAAGTCAGAGAGAAACCTCTTGTGTTTTCCACCTCCTGCTGGTGGGCTCAGCTGCCTCTGCTACAGTTTTGGGCTCTGTTTTCCATCACCTGTGTGGCATATGACTCAGGGCTCCTGCCCGGCAGAAAAGGCTCTGGGTGTGCTGATTAGCAGCTGGCTGAATGTGAGCCCACAATGTGCCCACGTAGGTGAGTCAGCAGCAGCCTGTCTTGATTCAGCGTGGCCAGCAGGACTGGGAAAGCGATTGACCCCTTGCATGTGGCCACTTGTAAAATCATACCTTGAGTACTGTGTTGTTTTGGGTCCCTCATTACAAGGACATTGGGTCACTTGAGTGTGTACAGAGAAGAGCAACAGAACTGGTGAGAGGATTAAAAAACAAGGCATCTGAGTGTGACTGAGGGATCTGAGGCTGCTTAGTTTGAAGGAGGTTAGGGGGCATCTCACTGCTCTACCCGAAAAGAAGCTGTAGTGAGGTGAGTATCTTTCAGTTGACGAGTGATAGCATGAGAGGAAACAGCCTCAAGTTGTACCAGGTGAGGTTTGGATTAGATATCAGGAAGAATTTCTTCGTACACATGTTGGTTGGGCATTGGTACGGGCTGCCCAAGGAGGTGGTGGAGTCCTCATCCTGGAGGTATTAAGAGATGATGTGTGGGCATGACATTGAGGGACATAGCTCAGTGCTGGGACTCAAGCTGATGGTTGAACTTGACAATTTTGAAGGTCTTTTTCAATCTAAATGAATCTACGATTTGATGAAAATGGATTTGTGGCACCATGGTTTGATGTCGTGTTTTAAAGGGAAAAACAAAAAGATTGTGGCTGTAATGGGGAGGGTGTGTGCGTGTTGACCTTAATGTTCAGACCCATTATCAGTGTTACTGAATGTGTGCATTCAGTACTGCCCCACAACGAGTGGAAACTAGCTCCAGAAGAGGGTTGAGCCATAATTTAAAGAAAATATGGATTCAGTATGCGTGTCTCAATGCCCAACTAGATGAGAGCGGTATTTCTACGTTTTCTAATGCTGTGGTGGGTGGGTGAGGGCTCGCATCCCGCCGGCTCCTGCCAATTCCGACTTCTACCTGGAGGAACAGCAATGGCAGCTGGAGGGAAAAGCGCGGAGCCGCCCCGATCCCGCTGCCCCCCCGCGTTGCCGTGGGAACGGAGTCGCCGCGGCGGCCGCCATGAGCGCTTCCAGAGCCGGGTCCCGCGCAGCCTCGGCCGCCCCTCGGCTCGTTCAGGTATCGGCCGCGGGGCGGCGGCGTCTGCCGGAGTGGGGAGGGCTGCGAGCGGCGGCCCCTCTGGGGTAATGCGAGGCGCGGCTCTGCTCTGCTCGGGCGGTTTTGGCCGAACGCCTTCCTTGTGTCCGGTAAATGCGTTGGCTGTTTCTATGGAGAGGCGCTCTCCATAGCCGTAAGGCCGGTTGTGAACCGCTCCTACGGGTTATCTCTTCAATTATAAATGTAATTTCGTCTCGTTCTTTTCTTTTAAACGGTTTCTGCAGCTGCAGGGCTTTACGTGTTGGTGGGCACGTGCTTCGATCCCACCTCCAGCCGATCGTTAGAGCTTATCTTCCCAAATTCAAGGACGAAAGTTTTCCATGTTAAGTGCTGCAAAGGGAGGGTCTGTCACCGAGCAGGAATTCACGGTTATCTGGGAATTATTGCTCTGTGTTTCTTAATCCTTTGAAGTTGCTTAGCTGGCTTTGATGTAGGTTTAAAGGAGACGCTCCAGGATACGGCTTGGAAAGATCCAGCTCATTCCTACTGAGGATACAGCAGGAAACTCGCAGCAGTTTCTTATTCTGAAGGGACAGCTGTCAGTGCACATACAGCTCAGTATATCCGAAAAGCTGAATGGCACTTGTGTGGTTGTACCACGTTGTTCTGAGGCACGGGATCAATACACGCAACCTCTGTTATGTAAGATTGACTGCTGTTCTCTTCAGTAGGATTGCTTTGATCTGATTGCTGAGTTTTTGTTAATGCTGCTTAATTTTAGAATTGGCAGTAACTCCATCGTGCATCCTGGTGACGTCAGGCAGGCTGTGAAGGTAGTAATGCCTATGAATGTAGTAAATAGTTGGTGCTCAGAAGTGTGTTGGTAACTATGTATTTATTAATTGTAGGACACAAACAGCAAATACAACTGCAGCCCTCATCCATCTTGACTGTGTTTTTGTATGCACATCTAAATGTATCTCATCTCATGTTTGGCTTCTTCTGAATGCTGTAAAACACAATAGGTATCAAGAGAGAACTGCAAGGGTCACATTTGCCCATGGTCTGTTTTTAAACATTTTTTTTAGCAAATCTTTTACAAAAGTCATTTACCTTTATTCAACATTGGTGAAGTAAAAGCAGTAGAACAAGCAATCTATGAAAACCACTGGATAAGCACTTAGTTTTATTAAACATTATTCTCCCCCTCTGTGTGTGTGTGGTTTTTTTTTTTTTTTTCTTTTTTTTTTGTTTGCATTAGCAATTACCATTTTTACTATTCTGAGATGAAGTACATCACCTCCTCATTATTTGCTTTGGGAAAGCAGTGACATGAAGTGTCAGGAGAGACAAATTTGTTAATTTAGCTATGCTGCCAAATGGCAAAGTTAAAAAAAAAATAAATAAAAAATAAAAAAATCTTAATATATTAAATAATATTTACATCAATTGATTTATCTCTCTCTGCCTTGAGGTGACTGCTCTCTCCTGTCATAACTTGTTTCTTTTTTTTTTTTTTTTTTTTTTTTTTTTAATTTAGATGCAAAGTCACCTCATTCCAACACAGAAGAAAATGAAAGACGGAAATGCTTTAACTGCTGCTGGTAGTAGAGGGTAAGGCTGCAATGTTCGTCGTCATGCAGCTTTCATTTGAGCCCATTAATCAAACCTCCTCGGTAGAGAAATAACCCTGGACAGTGATTTTTATCTTTCAGTAATACCTTTTTAATGATTGCTGCAAAGGGAGGAGGATAGGGCTAGGCAGTACCCTTCCGAAAGGAATTTAGAAAATCTCTTTGGTGATTTGTTTGGGCTGTTCAGGACAGTTTAGTTTTGCATGTTTCTAGAACAGTGCGCCAGTGCATAAAAACTCCACAGACATAACCAAAAGAGAACATGCACACCTGCTAGAGCTCAGGTTTTTAGAGTTGCATACACAAACTGCAAGCAGAGAGTTGAGCTCTGTTACAAGAACAAAACAGAGAAAGCAAAGAGGTCTTCATGGAGTGGGAAGTGATCAAAAGTAATTGGACACTTCTTAGATTTTGGAGAATATGTAAGACAGACTGACAAATTGGAAATAGTTTTGAGTCATTACTTGTAACTTTTAAGATTAATGTTAATAAAGTGTTACTAATAGAAATATTTTGTGATCTCTGAAGGCAAGGCAAATTGTGCAAAGTGTTACTGAGAAAAAAGTTAACCTTTTTTTTTTTTTCTTCCAGAAAATTAAGGATTAGATTCTGAATGGCAATAAAGTTTTAATATTATGTTTCCAACTGTAGTTGGAACAGATACAATCAAATAGCAGCCTTTAAGCTCTTCTTTACAGCAGCTGAGCCCATGAAAAATGAATTCCTATTATTCCTCTTTTGAAGGGAGCTTTAGTCTCCCTCTTTTCCAGTAGCACGTTTGGGACTAAAGTTTCCTTGTGATTTCTTAGGGAGTTACATTTGGTGTAGATTTTCTTTTCAACTTGATATTTATCCCAGCAATTTGTATTGGATGTTATCTTCATTCTGGTTGCAAGAAATAATAATAAGCTGTGCTGTTGTTATGAAAATGCATTGCATTTCCAGAAATTAGAACAATTTTAATACCCCCATGAGTATAAATTTGTATTAAAAACAAATATTACAGATTCAGGGTTTATTTTGTTTCATAGAAAATGAGCTGTTATGGTATTTTTCAACCTCCATTGTTTTTTTTTTTGTTGTTGTTGTTGTTTTGTTTGTTTTTCTATAGAAATGAAGGAAGAACAGAGTCCACAAAGGTTAGTGAATTGTTATTCACTTTTTTTATGCTACCGCAATGTGAAAAAGAAATCCCAGCCCTGAGTGCAGTGCCCAACAATGTGGGCAAGAGGCAAGAAATAGGCTTGGCAGATCATTCAGGGTAGTGGTCAGTGGTTAATTCTTGAGGGCTTTCTATTTTGGTGGGACTTTTTTTTTTTTTTTTTTTTTTTTTTTTTTTAATTTTTTAATTAAATGTAATTTGAGAAAGGGAAGCAGTAGTAGTAGTGTTTGCAAGGATTGAGATTAGCTGTATAGTGGGAAAGGATGTTATTAATGAAGAAAAGTTGACAAACGCAGAATTGGAATGACTGACTTGAACAGCTGACTGTTTTTGAAGTGTAGGGGGAAGTATATATCTAGTAAATGTTGAAGTTCTGTTGATTCCAAATAAAGAGAGGTTTGCAAATTACAGGCCAGGTTCTAAAATGGTGGAAGCAGCGGTTATCTGGTACAAAATGAAAATGGGGTAGAAAACCATAATAGCAACAATGTCCTTATGTTGTTTGTCTTCTGAGGAATTGCTAATGAAGCCAAAGGTCCGAGTAGCTACTGATCTTCAACATTGTAAATATAGGTTTACGTTCTGTTTAGCACTGGAAGTGAAATGAAAACTACGTTTTCTTACAGGTAAATGGGAAGAGTTCAAAGGAGTCCATAATGTGAATGAGAGAAACCCCCCAAACCCAGACTTCTTAGAGCTGATGGAAGTATAAAACGTGAAGGCTTTTTCTGTCCATTGCCTCTGATTCTTTTAACACTTTGTTCACTTAACTGTAATCAGTAAGTTATAGTACTCATGAGTTTACAAATCTGAATTTTTCAAAGAGTAACAAAAGCTCCACATGTGTAATATAAATTGTACTCCTGTAGTAGTGTCATGCCCGATTAATTGCATTGTGTTGTGTATGACTAATAATGAGATTTATAAGTAGCTGCTGGCAAAACATAGCTGTTTACTTAAATATTAAAATATGCATGCTCCCTGCCAAAAATGCTATAATCATACCAGCCTTTTGAGTGTGACGTCACAATGATTGGCTTTATATTTGCTAAGGCACTTGAGAATGCAGAGAACTGTTTCTATAAATCTCGTTGAAACAGTACGTGTGAAATAGTAATTCAAGTTGACTTTTACACCTGACTTACTTTAAAACTCTTTTAAATCCTTCTTGGATTATGTGAATTCTTGAATATGTGTCTTTACATCTTTAACATGCTAATTATCTTAAAGATAATTGTGTGACAAATGTGGGATTCGGAAATTTCAGCTCTAATGGGCTTTCTTACATTGATTATTGCTGATGAACAAGACTCTTCATTCTTCAACCTTGCTCTGCAGTTATTTTTTTATTGAAGCTGTTTTGAATTTCTCCTTTCTATGGAGTCAGAAGTGACTGTGTTCGTTTAGAGAAGAAAATTTACATCCATACAGCAGTATAAGGATAGTTACTTATATAAATAATATAGTGTCACTGTCTGCAAGCTCCCTCCCTGGTTTTGGAGCCCTGCTATATTACAGAAGAAAACAAAACTTGGCCTCAAAGGATTTCACCTGGTTGTACATTGTGAAACAGTAAGTGGATAAGGTGGTAAGACAAAGTAGCAAAAAAAGATGGTACATGCCTTGCTTACTCCCTGAGAACTGTGATAATGTGTTGAGAAAATTAGGAGCCCTTTCATCTCAGAGATTGCTGGCTGTGTGTGACCATGAGCTGTTCTGCCTGTATCAATTTGGTTTGATGAAAGTGGTGACTCCTTTGTGAAACAGAAGGGCTGAGCGTCCTTAAGGAGATGAATGTGATTAAACTTGATGGATTTAACCCAGTGTCTGCTACTGAAATGAAGAAAGATTAAAGAGTTGACCATATTATAAAAGATAATCCAAAGTAGTTTATCTTCTGCTGCAGTCTGAACTAGTAGTTTTGTGTTATTCCTCAGGGAATTTTGTTATGTTTCTTGATAAAGGGTTATTGTACTACATGGTCACCTGTTTAGAAGACTTTCGGTTTTTTTTCTGTTTAGAATGGATAGGAACTGAACTTGCAGTTTATCTCATCCTGGAAATCAGTGTCAGTGTAGAAGAAAGCAGAAGGGCTACATGTCACACTTTAACTTCAAGATAATGTGTGCAAGAGTTAACCTCTGGTAAACTCTGGGTGCTCCAGGCTTCTGGCTTAATGAAACCTTAAAGAACTTGGAACTTTCTTATCAAGCTATCACATGGCTGTCTGCATAGGCAACACATTGCCAAAGCTGAGATAAGGAAAGGCATCTGAGCTACACCCTACTTGCTTTAAGAGAGGAAACTGCTGACAGGGAGTTCTTAGGAAGAGCTCTGTAACTCCATAGGGGACAATGAAGTTGAAGTAAATGTTACTGGCCACGGTATGTAAGCTGTCAAGACTGCTGCAGTACTTGAGAACTGAAGGAAAGAAAATGTGCTATTTTTTTTTGTTTTGTTTCTCTTGAGTGTTTTTTCTTCTTTTTTACGGGTTGAGAAGGCTTTCAAAGTGCAGTGTTGACTAGATACCCTGAAACACTGCCCAGAAGTTTCTGTAAAGTTTTAATAAGTTGTAAGCTCCAATTGTCAGTTTGTATGTTTTCAGATTTAACATGTATTGTTTTCAGCTAGATACGCACTCTGTTAATCAGATAACAGCAGCTGCTGATTATATCAAGCAGCTGGCATTTTGTGTATTTCCTAGCAGTCAATTGTGACAACTGTTACACGGACGATGGGAAGTTAGCTATGTCAGCAGAATGTGTACTTCTCACACTTCCTGTAGATTTCGTTTTGGGGAACTTGTTTTCTGACAGTTAAAAAATAAGAATGAGCAGGGTTCCTTATCCAGTGTCATCTTTGTGTGTTATAAGGAATTACTCATCTTGCGCAAGGAGGTTGTGGATGCCCCATCCCTGGAGGCATTCAAGGCCAGGCTGGATGTGGCTCTGGGCAGCCTGGTCTGGTGGTTGGTGACCCTGCACATAGCAGGGGGGTTGAAACTGGATGATCTTGGTGGTCATTTTCAACCCAGGCTGCTCTGTGATTCTGTGATAAATGAGAGCTGTGCATTCTCTGCTTCCTTATTTCCATTTTGATCAATGTGCAGTTGTGATAATCAGGAAGCTGAGTTCTTTAATTACATTATTCCCAGGTTACTGAATAAGGTTTTGCTCTTCCACCTCTTTTTCAGGAGAACAAAGTTTTAAAAAAAAAAAAAAAAAAAGTAGAGAAAAGAAAGGGAAAACATCAAAACAACTGGTGTGAATTAAGCCAGGAGTTGTCTCCCTCTGGGACCTCAGACAGCTGTCTTTATCCCTGTCATTCTTAAAATGGTTTGCGGTTTAGTTTGTTTTCTATTCATGGTGTCTGTAGAGTGTACAGGAGTGGGAACAGGCTGTTTGTGAGAAAACAATTCAGGCAAATTGCTAATGGTGTGTGCTCACTTTTTTTGTTGTTGTTCTAAGGTAAACTAATTCAGCTTCTGTTTCAATAAGGATTATACATTTTGTTGCATAGTCCACTGAACAGCAACACTGCTTAATTTCTTTCTCAAAATTGAACATTTCTGTGAATTGTTCCTAGTTGTTTGTTTGTTAGTCTTTAGAATCCCAATGTTTTTAGGGAATGGCACTCAAAAATATGGCTTTTTTTTTTTGGTGTATATGTATGCACATATGTGCCTCTGTGTGCTAATTAAACTCACAGAGGTTTTGGAGACACCTGATGAATCAGATCTGTCTAGCTTTTCTCTGCTTCACCTGCCCTTTAATACAACATTTGGTTGTATTCTTAATCATATTCCTCATTGTTTTTTTATCTGTTGCTCATTGGTGTTCATCAGGGAAGGGGTAGATTTGCATTTTACAATGCATACCTGCAAGCATTAGGATTGCAATTTTGTTTCTGTCCTGTGTGGGAGCTGATGGAACAAAAACCTCTTGTTCTGTCTTCTAACGTGTGCTTCCAGCATCACCTAAGAGACTTCTGTTCACAAAATGTTAAATTACATCATTTGTAGTCATTATCAATTGGGGGGAGGGGGAAAAATCTAATTAAACTCCTATCAAGATCTCAGGTCTAAATTACACCTTGAAAAATGCAAATAACAAAGGTTGAGAAATCCACCATGGTTGTGCTCTACTTTAGAAGAGCCATGCAAAAATGAAAAAGTGTAGTAAGAAGATTCTAAAAAGCACAGCGAAAAGAATTGAATTCTTGCAAGTGAATGAGATTGAATGAGATTGTGTTGGGAGCACAAAGCCAGCACCTACCGTCTGTCAGAAGGATGTAAGAATGGATGAAGAGAAGTCAGTGTGGTAATGGTGATTGCTGGGGAAAAAACACCAACGTTGTTCAGAAACCTGAAATTATGTCCAAACTTGATGGAGTCCAAAAGGACCTTGGCATACTAGAAGTAAGAGCACAACTGGGAAAGCCAGAAAGTAACTTTGAGAAGATCAAAGGCATGGATAAGGCATGGATTTGTCAACTTGGTAGGGAAGCAACAGAGGTAAGATATGAATGAAAGGTGCAAAATCATGAGGTGAAGACTGATGGTCTTTGCTTTTTTGTCACCGTTTCTTCCAGTATAAAAATTAGAGAGTATGCAGGATGACTTCAGTTGGAAAACAAAAGTGGCTCTTTGTACAAGACACTTGAGGACTCTCTTGTCAAACAGTGTTCTGGATAAATGCTGACGTGGGTCAAAGGAGGAATAGAGAGGCTTGTAGTAGAGAGATCTTCAGAGTGTAGTTGGCTCATGTAAATAACAGAAAAGCCTTTCTCTGACCAAGGGTACTTTTTTTGAATTTAAATATTAATCTTGTAACGACCATGTGAATGACTCTGCTGATGTACTCTGTACTGTTTAGAAAACACTGAAGCAAAAATGTTTAAAATTGCAATGTTTAAGAGATTGTCTTTCACACTGTCTTCTCAGGAGTCTTGTGATCGCTTTCTTTTGGATATTCCTGTCACCAGAGAGCAGATGAACCACTATCGAGCTGCAGCAGAGACTGCTCAGAGTGAACTAGCAGCACTAACAGTGAAGTATGACTGTGTCCATTCAGAGGTATACTTGAAACTATCTCCAAATGCTTCTCCAGATCTGAAGATTTTCTGTAGAACACTTTTGCAGAGAATAGAAAGTTTACAGAAAGTACAAAAATTCTTTGTTTTCTTACAAATTTTTTGTAGCACCTGAACCTTAAAAAAAAGAATATCAATGAAATAAAATATATTTTACCATAGTTAGTTGAGTATGGGAAATAAGAGCATTCAATACTGCAGAAGAATGAATTATCAATACAGTGTCCAGTCAGAACTACAGGGATGAGTATCCATCAGCTGAGCTTGTATTTGACCAGTTGATCCTGAAATTACTCCAGAGATCCTCAAAAGTTACCCAGGATCATTTCATATTTGAGAACACATACAGGATTTCATGGTCGCATAGAAAGAAGTTCTTATTGGAAATCTTGAATGACTTTAGTTGCCAAGATGACTGACTGATTTATAGACTCCTTCAGTGCTGTTCTTGCGAGGCAGAAGAATAGGCAAGAAGCAGCTGTTCATACTCTTGTTTAAGACCTTCATGACCCAGTTGAGGTCAGAGCCCAGTTATGCTGAATGCTCTTAAAATTCATGATATGAGATTATTCTTGTTTTTTTTCTTTCTTCTGCTATTGGAACTGACCACAGAGAGAATAGACAGAGTAAAAAATATCATATTTGGCAAATGAGGAGTTGAACTACAGAGAAATGTTAAGGTTATGAACAATTTAAGCTACCATAATTGGTCCAGCTGCCAAATAAAGCAATCCTATTGTTCCTTCAGCTGTTCATTTTCTTCCCTACACCGCCCCATCCCTTGCTTTAGTACAAATGTCTGTGTTGTGTTGTGGTGCGCTGGTATGGGGAGCTGATCCAGCAGAAAGATGAAGCCATTCCTTCTGGGTTGTTTTTCAGTTGGATCAGTTTCCTGATCTATTTTACCTCATTGCCATATGAATGTCCCTGATACTGCAAAGGAAAGAGCAAATTACCAATGTGAAGCCAATGAGATGGGGAAGGGACAAAGCTGCTCTTCTCAAAATCAGTGATGGCTTATGCCAGCTTCAAATGCAGTAACTGTTCAGCTGCCTTACCAGCTGGAATTTTACTCTGAGCATCTTGGCTTTGCTCACACCAGAAGCTTTTTTTTTTACCTCTTATACTGCAGCTAAATGTCATAAATATTCACTGCCTTATTTTTTTTGCCACATATTTTAACAGAAAGAGCATTTAATGTGGTTTAATTATTTGCATGCTAATCTTATACAGTAGTTCTACATGCGATATATTACTGCTGAGAACTGGAATTGTCAGGAGCTGAAACAATTCTTAGTGCCTCTTGTGGCAAAATGTTCACTGTAAATTGTGTTAAATTTAACAAAGTAAGACAACTGAGCTGGTTTTTTATGTACCTGATGCATGTGCCAGAAGCTCAGTCCTTTAGAGAAGCTTGTAGCAGAAATAATTCAGTGGAAATTGGTATTCTAACAAAAATTGGGAAAGGAAGATAAAGAAAAATGAATGAACTACGTGAGATGCTGGGAAGCTCCAGCATCATCTCTGGAACAGATTCTTGATGTTTGATTGTGGTCTTTCTCTTCCTCCTTAAAAGACTGTCTTGCTGTTTCTTTGTAAGTCTAGCTATATTTCATTGAATTATCTAACAAAAAAAGTAACTATTTGCTTAAGCTGAGAAGAGATTGCCTTAGAGCACAGCTCTCAAAAATTATCTTTGCATTTGGATATGCAGCAAGTCATCAAAAGGCTCCACCCTCACAAAACAGGATAGCATTACTGCGGCTTTCTGCAACGTAGACAGAGTAGTTGTGCACCAGAGTTGGGAGCAGGGAGGAAGCATGCAAAAAAAGAGGGAGTAGTGGTGTTAACTGCTGCATTGCATTGCATATGCATAGATGAGGTGGGTTAAGGTTATGCGGAAGAACTAAATACAGGCACTTTCTAAATTCTGATTTTGTTAACAGATTTATCTAACAGGCAGAGATTAATGTGAGAAATTGTATGTGACATGACACAACAGTGACTTTTTATTTCTGTATATTCTAGTGATGTGAAAATAGTTACCTCCTTCCACTTAGTCTCACAGCGGTGGAATCTTTTCTCACAGGACTGAATCTTTTATTCCAGAAGTATTTTTTCTTGTCATGTTATTGAAATTTTAATGTTTGTATTTTTCATCCTGTACAAAATTATTCTTCCTTTTAATGAGTTTTCTCATTTTCTATTTATAGCTTCTTGAACTCAGGTCCAGAATGATCTCAAAAGAAACCTCCTTTAAAGAGCTGAAGTCTGAAGCTGAAAGCTACAGGGAAAACAATGCTAGACAAGCATCTCTCCTCTTGTCTTTGCAAACTCGAGTTCGGGAGACAGAAGAAGAGTTGAGTGTGCTTGTGGCTACTAAAAAACAGGCTGAGCTGACAGCTCAGGCAGCATCGAAGGAAAACTGGGAGCTGAAGGAGAAACTTCATGAGCAAAATGCCAGACTTAAGTAAGATTAACGTGAGATAAAAATTTCTGATGACAAAAAGCTGCAATGGCCAACAGAAAATAAGGTGATGGGCAGACTTAATTGCAAATCTGAGTTCTGTTGTGTTGCTTTGCAAAGCAAATCTGAGTTTCTGTTGTGCACTTGAGTGTGATTGAAGGTATTGAAATTTATATCTTGGTTTGAGTTGTTAGACTTGAAATGGGGCTTTGAGAGTTGTGTCCTACAGAGTAGAAACGATCAAATGAATCAGCTTGGTTAAACCACAGTATTTACAAAAAATTAGTGTGGAGGACTGTTCGCAGGATGCAGCAGAAGCAATAGGTATAATTTCCTTATTCAGATGTTTCCAAGTGTGGCACTGAGGAAAAAAGGCGCTCTGTGCCTTTTGTAGCACAGCTGTGATGTACAGTACCCTTAACTACAGCTTAGTGCTCTGGCCTATCCTCATCATGTGCTGCCTTGTGGAGATGTTACCTGTCAGATGCATGGGCCACATGGTGATGAGTGGTGGAGCTGCTGCCCCGCTCTTGTCTCTTTCCCCTCATCTGTGTCACAGCTGGAACTGATACAATGTAAGTGAATTTCTTTCTTTGTATAAAGCTGTCTGTGAGGAACAGTGTAATGAAATTATGGTATATTCTTACCTATACCGTAACAGGGTAGGGTATATCTATTTAGATATGTGTAACTTGAAGAAGAAACACCACAATCTCTAGGAATATAGTTGTTAACATTCTTCAAAGAGTTTTTTTTTTTTTTTTTCTTGTTTGCCTCACTCACTAGGAGAAATCTGTCAAAATGTGTCAAAATTAACCTGTCATTACAGTGATAGGGTCAGTTTTGTGTAGCATAAATCTGTTCTGTATCTCCCAGTGTGGTCCTGTCATCTAGCTGGCTGCTCTCTTTTGCCCGTGTCACTTGTACCAGCACTTCCATTTGTGTTGCTGCGTGGTTGTCCAAAGGGTCTACTCCAAGAGAAAAATAAACTTAGTTTAAAAAGCTTAATTTCTGGCTCTACCAATCCCAGGTCTAGTTAGCTGCACAACTTGGTGTACCACCAGACTGCTGGCACAAGAGAATGGTCAAGGGGAGGGTGAGTCTGTTCTTCCAGAAGGAACAAATGTGTTGGATAAAACTGATTGTGAATCTAAGCTTTCAAAGCTTTTTCTCATCCTTAACTGATGGTTACAGGTGCCACTTAATACCAGTCAATGTATTAACTGTAGTTACTTATTCTGACCACTTTGGTTAACGTGTAGCTGTTCAAATTAGATGTTCAAGATTTTAATTCAAAACCACAGGTAAAAGGAAAGAGCAAGCCAGTAGACATGAAATACACATTCATATTCTATACTTTTGGGATAGAGTTGTGTTTAATAAATTGTGTAATCAGCTTTCAAGATGTACTCCCTATTAAAAATGGTACTTTTCTGCTCAACATGTGTATTGCCAAGGTATTTTTAGAGCCTGAACTGTGAAGAGCTTTTTTCTATCCCCTCCCCTTCTCTATGCTCATTAGTTCTGAAGAGCTAACAAAACTGTGAAAGAGCTGTGTTCTTTTTTTACCTGACTGCCTATCTTCTAGGTGCTGCCACCTTTAAGACTGTTCCGAAGATAATTAGGCTGTTTGTAGAGTTGTCAAGTATGTGCTTCGTACTTCTGATTGTTTATTTTTAGAAGCAGTCAGTTTTGATGATGATGTACTTTGATTTAAGGAGAGTTTGCATGGTTCATAATCAGGCTAGTACAATATTCTAATATGAGCTCTGCTCTTAAATAATGCCTCCTATTTTATTATGTTGGCTCACAAAGTTAGAGGTGGATGTTGGTGGTATAACTGCAGAGGTTGAACCTTCCTGACAACATTCTGTTACGTTTTGTTGCTGTGTGACAGATGGCAGCAGAGGGGCAGTCTGACAAAATGGTGTCCGTCATGGAAGTATGTATGAAGCAAAGGTGTGTCACTAAGTAGAAAAAATGGCACCCAGTGGCATTCGTCAATGCTGATGGAACATTTATGGAGATCAAACAGTGGCTATCACCACAGTGAGGTGGTATGTTCTGCGTTGCAGCAATAGCGCTGTCCTAGCAGCTATGAAAATGTGAGTCACTTCAGCTGGTGCAGATTTTTATGAGAGATGTTGACAGCAATTGTCAACAGCTGATTTCCCTCCTAAGGCTCCAGTTCAAAGTTTTACAGCCATCTATAGCCAGTTAATGTGTGTTTGCATTCATGTGCTTTCTTTAGATGTCAATGCTGCTTTTTGATTATGGAGTGATATGAGTGATATTTTGTGCCTGTTTCTTTCTAGAGAGGAAGAAATTAGAAATGTAGAAGGATGAGCCCAGACATGGCTGACATGTCCACCTTAAGAACTTAGTGCAGAGCTTTCATAGGTGCTTAACAGGTTCAGTAAAACAGTTGCTTTAGTCAGCTTTGGTGACGATCATATCTTGCAGTTTGGTGATATATCTCATTTTATTCCAGTGTTGAAGTCTTTGTGAAGACCTTGCTGTAGAAAGTACCTTGTTTCTCACCTGGAAACCTGATAATTTGTCTCTAGCTCTGAGAGTACTTTTACCACTGATTATCTCTCTCTCTCTCGGGTGTAATTGGAGAGTGAATCTGAACTGAAAGTTGTCAGTGTTGATTCTATGTTGTATGGCATGATCTCTGAATGCTATTGTGATTAACAAGTGCTGTGGACAGCTTGATAGCAGTTCTTTCCTGCAGGATCTTTTGGCAGGTATACTGAAGCTGATGTCCAAGGTGTGTAAGCTGTTCCTCCTTCTAATAAAAATGGTACAGGAGTTGATATTTGGACTACATAAATTATCATTCTAAGCTTTTTTGGGGGGATTATTTATGTTAGTTATTGTCTTTCTAGTTCTACAGGAGTAATGCTCAGTGTTAACAGCATCATGAGCAAGATGTAGATCTACATGTTTGCTATCTATGGCAATTCATATTTTCCAAGCTGGTCCCCAACTCTGGCAATGGGAAGAGTATAAACAAACTTATACTACTTTGTGAGCTGTTTCTTCTTGAAGGGAACACTTAGAAATGGATACCTGCTGGTGATGTTGCTACCTTTAGCAGTAGGACAGATACACGTTTCATGTGGGGTATCTATCCAAATGGTAGGCATCTTGTGAATGCAATGAAACTGAAAACAGATAACTACTTTTTTGGCATAGTTTTGTGGTAATCCCTTTATATTTTCTTTCTTTAATGGATGTCTAACCTGTGCCCAACCTGCATTTTTTTCCCCCTCTTCACTTGCTATTTACCCTGCAGTTGTGGGCAATATTACATGGCAGAATTCTCTGTGTATAGCAAGGCAGTTTCTGCTTTTGCCAGTGATCTTCCCCTCAGAAGTCTCTGGATGTCCTATACTTCCCCTGCTGTTATTTTTAACAACACGGTCAGTTTCATTAGAGGCAGATATGAAGTGCTTTTAGTGTATTTTTACTATAATTTGATCGATCTCTTCTGCTTAGTTGTTTTTTTTTTTTTTTTTTTAAGCATTTGCATGCAACCTCCATTTCTAATATTGTGAGGGCTCTGTTCATTGATACTACCTGGTTCATGTCTTTTATGAAATTCTGTACTGAGAATGCAGTTGTAGAAGATGCTTTAAAGTGCTAATCAAAGACAATTATAAGAAGTGTTCACACACAAAGCAACTAACTAAAATTATTGTATTAATATATATGGAGAATTATATACCGTGTAATTTTCATTTTGCTCTGTATGAAAGCCAGAAATCATCTTGGGATATGTTTGCCTAGAATTCTGTTTCAGAGAACATTTATCCTGATATATATATATATTTTTTTTGGTCTAATTAGCAAATATTTGAATGATTGTGAAGAAAGCAAGACAGAATCTTATAAGATGAGCAGGAAGTATGAAGAGCTTGTTACACAGCTTTCTGAATTCTTGGACGCAGACATCAAAGAAAAAGAGAAACCAGAGGAACATTTAATGTTAAAGGTGATTATACGTAGGCAAGAGTTTTTTTTTGTCATACGTACAGACAAGATTTATTAAAACCTTTTACTGTGTTTTAGGAACTGTCTCGCTCCAATTTATAGGAGGGAGATGAGGTTCTTTTAATATCTGTATACCCGGTGTGAGATTAAGAAACAACGGTTCATATGTTGTTGCATCCACTTTATTACTAAAACCTAATCAGGGAGACGGGGAAGGGAAGGAGGGCCATAGACAAGATGGAAAAGAAGCAGGAGTTGCGTAAAGCGGGGATAGTCACCAGCAGGATCCAGCAGCGGTCCCGGTGCACGGTGTTTGAAGGTCCTGGGCAGAATGCAGCAGAAGACGGGGAGCAGCAGCGTGGCCGGCACTGGGCAGCAGGCAGGTAGACGAGGAAGTCGAGGAGCCAATTCTTGAAGCAGCAACAGCGGTCAGGCAGCAGGCTCAGGAGAGTTCGACAGCATGCCGGAGTCACCTCAATCTTCAGGAATCCCTCCGTTCTTCATGAGGAATCTGTTGTCAGAAACCTATCCTCGTGGTTTTCAGTTCCTCTTTTATCCTCCTTGTTCTCCTGCCTACGTGACAAGGATGGGCCTTGAGCAAGAGACATTGAGTACCCGCTGAGATGGCCATCATCCGGAGATAAGTCCACACAAAGGAGCACTTCACAGCTATTTAGCTGCAGCTCATCTCGCTCTCGTCGCCCCTGGCCTTGCCCATCTGTGTCCCCCAGACAAAGGAGCTCACAACCTTTGTCCAGGACTTGCCTGGACTTGTTCATCTGTGTCCTTCAGACAAAGGATTTCACAATCCTTGCTCGGGACTTGAACAAGTCCATCTGTGTCCCCAGCAAGCTTTGAAACACAGAAGTTTACAGAATAATCTCTTACAGGAACATATACAGGAATAACTAAATTAGCTTAATTAAAAAAATGGCCTGACAAACAGAATTCATCCATCATAGAGAACTAATAGAGGAATATTTGGTTATCAAAGAAATAATGCAAGTGATGAAGATGGGAATTTTTGTGTTATATCATGTCACTTAAGACAAGTTTTTCATGTTGGTCTGATTTTTGAAGGTGCTGAATACTAATTGACTTCAGTGAACTCAGTTTGGTCTTATCTGTAAAATATTTTATCAGCCTATAGTTCCTAAGTACAACCTTGATTAAATATATGGTTGAAAGCTCTTGTGAAAACATTAACAATGGAAATCACTAGGTGACATGTAAATTCTACTGCTTATTTTTAACATTAATCTCAAGCTGTCATACCATGAAGTAGAAACATCTGAAATGGTACTTGCTAAGACAATCTTAATCATACCCTTTAATGGTATAAATCACTACATGGTGTTTTGAAATGTGAGCATAAAACTATATTATTTCTTTTGAGAATATTTCTGAAGTTCTGAAAACAGTGTTTCCATTTAGGAAAATTATTTATGTACTCTTTCAACTCTTCTAGATGCTGTTGAAGGACAATTTATCTTAGTTTTATTATTTTTTCCTATGTTCTATCTACTCTCTCCCTATTTTTCTTCACTTGGAAGCACACTAGGTATTTTGAGAATTTCTCTTTCATTAGATTCATACTGTAAGTGTTCTGGTTATAAGGATCACTGAATGAATTAAGACTATCTAAATATGTGTCACAATGATTTACTACGGTCCTTGCCCTCATAATATGGCAAGCATACTCTAACTATAACAGTGTAATGAAACTTGCACGGTTATCACCAGAGGCAAAGATATTTGTATTAAGTTTTATCTCTTACATGCTTCAAATTAATCAAATAACCAGAGATTTTTAAGTATATATTGATTTCCACCCCCCCCAATGTACTAATAGATCTAGTTGAGAAATCTATTTGCAGCTCGTTAGGAAAACTTAGTTACCAGTCAAGGTATGTTTTTTGTCTGTATGCACTCTCTGAAGTGCCCATATTTATCTTTCTTAGAAATGTACTGTGCATAATGTACCAAAATAGCCTCAACAATCTTACTGGAACTACTCTTTTCTCCAAGGGGCCAGTTGTTCAGCGCTGCAGCCCAGCAGGTATTTGGCCCTGCCCTTGAATATGCTCAAGAAATAGCTGTTGCTAACTCAAATTGCCCTTTGCCTAAAGCGTTTCAAGCCTAAAATACAGCTTTCAGTTTCTTATTCCAAATGAGAGGCATAAATCTTAGCAATCCAGACCAAAACAGTCTGCTCTTCACATGAAGATGGTTATATGATCTGTTTTCATTTTCCGACCTGCTCCACGTCAAGTGTGGATACTCCTAAGTGTCAGTAGCTCTCTACCCTTTATTAGCTCATACAGACTATGTGGGAGTAAAGCTGAATTACTTTACACTAAACAGATGTGGGTTTCTGTTGGAAATATGGACCTCCATTGTTTTTCTGCTCTTCTACAAATAAATAGTAATAAATAGAACAGCACAATTATAAATCTGTCACAGGGGCCTTGGAAACACTGTGTCTGTATTAGGATGATTAGGAGCTGTATAGTGTGATGAATAAACATCATTGTTAAATGCTTTAACAAAGTTACCAATTGCTGAATTCTCTCTCTAGGCTTGTGAAATATATAAAGAAAATCTGGCACTAAAAGCTCAGGTTGCTGCCCTTCAAGACGACATCAATGGCCATGAAATGGAATCCAAGGCTAGTAGAGAAACTATCATGAGGCTTGTTTCAGAGGTGACCAAAGAGCAGAAAAAGGCAGCAGGATACTGTGAAGACATGGAAAAACTTAGTAAGGTACATAACTGAATGATGTCTATGTTTGTTTAATTTGAAATTTTGAAGTGAAAACTAATTTTTGATAGGTGTTGCATGAGGAAAAACTACTTCCGATAGATTTTCAGTGATGAAGATCTATTCAAATTATTTTTAACTTTTTAAAATTCTCAACTTTTTAAAATTTTAAGGATATATGGAGATTAAACATCAACATGCAAGATAGGACTAACTTAGATTTGATGTCTCCTACATTGCATGCAAATTGAAATTTTTGCTTTCTTTCTGTTGTTGTAGCCTTCATTGCTTGCACAAAAATTAAGCAGATGCTTTTCCAACGCAGTGTGAATGTATGAGTATGAATGTATGTAAGGCACAAGCATAGAACAGTGGAATAAAAATGCACTTTAAGTAATATTTAAGTGACATTGCAATTTTTCTGAGGATTCTTTTACTCAGTTTCTTCAGAAATTCTAATGACATTCCAAGGAATTAATAGTGTTCTATTTTATTCTTCCTATTTCTCCTAAGAGTCTGCAAGTAAAGTGTCTTGGCTTTCAGACAAGCTAGATTATCTCGTTTCACTGCATAATAAACACATATTTCATAAATATTCAGTTGACTCATGCTCAGTAGGTGTCTTGTAGAAAAGTACTTATTTAGTATGAAAAGCCCACAGAGGAAAACCATTCAGTAGGAATGATGCTGAAATGAGAACTGTAAGTGAAGTTGTAAGTCAAGTACTCACTGAATTCATTTAGGTACAATTTGGAAAGAAAAGGATGTGATTTAAGGCTTTAAGTGCTCCAAGAAAACTTGCCATTAAAAATTTTGGTTCATTGTGAAGGGTGGATGAACAAAGTGAGCTATTGCAGCAGTTTTCTTTAATGCTTTGTACTTTGAGCGATATCTGCAAGAACAGTTCATTAAAACTATAGTGAAAACTTCTTGCAGGTACTAGGACTAAAGCTGATGACCAGAACTTAAGAATAAAAGATGAAAGGCTAAAGCTGATAAATATATAGCTGAGTTGTGTGAGTTTGTAGAGGTTTCAGCATAAATAAAACCTTGTGCAAGTAAGTTTTCAAAATTAATATACATTAACATTTTCTTCATCCCACCATTTTTTTTTTTCCTGAAAAAATGACCACAATCATACACTTTAAAGGATAAAGTGTTCTGATTTTGCTGTAGGCAAAATACTTAAGAGATGAAACAGAGCTGAAAGCATGCTTTTGAGAAGAAAGAATTTGTTGTAGGGAAGATAAATGCTAAGTACCATGAGGGTCATAAATTTTACTTACTGCTGAAAGTGTTTCTTAACAACCTATGTAAAACTTCCTAAGACTCAAATTGCAATGAGAATGAACCTGGACTGAAAGCCTAACTAGGCCATTCTGAGAACCTTTTGTTCCCGTATAAAAAAAGGGGAGAGAGAGGTGAGTGCTTACTAGGTAAGCCATGAAGAATGGGGAGACACTCTAAGCGGGGATGAGGCTTTGTTTATAATTTCTTTTGCAAGTTTGCTCTGACTGCCGAAACTTTTCCAGAGTTGGATCAGTTAGCTGAAAAATGTTTTCCTGTCATTACTGTGTGTGTGCCAAGTGCATAATTTAATCCATTCCTACAGAAATGTCCTGCTAAATTATTAGCATTGCCTTTCAAATGAAGAGTGTGTGATCCTGGCTTACTGAAAGGTTGCAGATTCCTACAGTGCTTTTTCAGTTTAGCTGCTTAAATTTGCAGATACTGAGTAAATCTGCTGAGAAGGTTTTTGTATTTAAAAAAAAGTATGTGAAGAAATTCAGTATGAAAAACTACGCAAAACCCAGATTTTTCATTTCCATATGTGAGAGTACATATAGCATTTCTGCTTCTTCTGAAGGTTCTCGTTATAAAATCATAGAATCATAGAATAGCCTGAGTTGAACAGGACCCCAAAATCATCTAGTTTCAATCTCCTCCTGCTGTGGGCAAAGTCACAGTGTCCTGTGTTATAGGAAGAGCATCCTCTGATCTCTTTTGTTCTGACTTTTTGCTTATGGCTTGAATAAGTACATGGATAGAGTTGCACACTGTTCTATGTTCACTTGTGAAAGACCAGCAGAAATCTGTACTGTCACAGATAATAAGCAGGTGTTACTGGCCTAACAGCACATTGGCTATCTTCTGTATTACAGATAACGATGGTGTTCCATTTGCCCCAGCTTTCTCTTTCAAAGTTCTTAGGTGTACAGGAACCAGCACATAACCTTTCTGTTCAGCAGTTGTGTCAATTTTCTCCGGCAAGACACAGCCGCATTCCCCACCTCCTCTCTGAACTGTTGCTAGTTTTTCTTGCTGATTTCTTGATGTTCCTTGGAATGCTTCTGCACTCCTTCTCTTGACCAGTTGCCTCTCTTTATGTCCCAGGAGGAAGCATCTGCCGAATGTGCAAATAAACAGATGATACAAATTCTTGATGAAGAAAATAATGTCCAAGAAATATTAGCAGGATATAAGTTGTATATGTGAGAGTTATTCAGAGTATCTTTAGTATATTTGATTCTCCAGTATTTGTTGCAGTCAGTTGGTTTACACTGGAGAAACATTAGCAAGTGAATGATAATTGTATGTGTTCATCTGTCAGCCTCGATGCATTACAACTTCAAAGCACCAAACAACATAAATATCAAAGCTAATAAAAAGCAATAGGTAGCTACAAAGCTTTTTTTTTTTCCCTTGTACTTTATTACTTTTATTTGGAATTTTTAACTTCCCAAACTGCTGACTGAATATTCTGAGAGCTTCCTCTTGCAATTCTGTAAACATTGTGCATATACTTATTCTGGTAATGCTGGATATCACATTTGACTTTGATAGAAAATTGTTTTTAAATGCTGCCCAGACTGGAACGTCTTTTTTTTTTTTTTTTTTTTTTCTTTTTCTTTTTCTTTTTTTTTTTAATTTCTGTGTGTTCGGAGAGTAATTACTGGTTATTAGTCACAGAATTGCAGTGAAGAATCATAGAATCCTTAGACTTGGAATGGACCTATGAAGACCTTCTAGTCCAACTCCCCAGCAATAAACAGGGACACCACAGCAAGATCAGGTTGCCCAGGGCCTGATCCAGCTTTGCCCTGGAAGTCTCCAGGGATGGAACATCAACCACAACACTGGGCAACCTGTTCCAGCGCCTCACTACTCTCACTATAAAAGACTTTTTTCTTACATAGAACCTAATAACATTCTTTGATCATGTCTGTCAGTCTTAAAATAAATAAATAAAAATCTCTAACCAAGATTCTCTCTAATGCTTAATAAATACACAGTACTACACAGTACTGTGTACACACACAGTATAGTTAAACTATAGAAGATGTGTGTATTCTACCAGATGGATTTGCCATTCATAAAGCATTACCACTGATGAGCCACAAGAAATGGTAAATTCGGCTTGTTCTTTTTTTCCTCATCTTCTCTGATGGTTCAGCCTGGAAATATTTGTGTTTCTGGACTGTTAATTTAAGCATCTGTTTTGCAAAGATGTGTGTCACGCAATGTCTGTAAAAATAACATTTGGAATATAATCAAGGAATACAAATGTATCTGCATGTGTTGCTGATGCAAAATTAATGTCAAAACAGCTTTTTATTCAATAGTAACTTGCATTAAATTTTTAGTTAAATGTATCTAAGTAGTATCTTACATGAAATTATTAAAATTGATTGTGTGAAAACACAGTCAATTAAAATATATTTTTTATTATTTAAAGAATTCAAATTGACATGAAAAACATATGTCCTTTTCTCATATACCAAAATATTTTGATTGTAGGATATGTGACCAAATGATTTTTTTTTTTTTTTTTTTTTTTTTTTTTTTTTTATGCAAGAGATAATTGCTTTCTCAGTTAGAATTTTTAAGATGTCACTAAGGAAATAAATACTAGGGACATGTTTCAGCAGATTTGTCAAATATTTTCAGTTTGAATCATCAGGGAAGATGGAAGATGAGAACATGCTAATTTAGAGGCCTTGTGATATTGATTGCAACAGGAGATATGGCTAGTTTGAGAATTCATCTGGAAAATACTGGCATTTACTTTTATACCTACTGTTCTTGTCAAAGTAACTTGCTTTTTTTTGTATTTATAATTGATTTAGTATACTATGATCCTTCATGAGGTGCCAATATTAATAGTTTTTATGTAAGTTCAAATATTTTCCTCTCTTCTGAAGACCCTTTCCACTTATTTAACCTAAATCTCTTGGAAGAGATTAAAGTCAAAAGGCCCAAGCTTTCCTCTGCAAGTATAACAAGTTACTGACTTGTGGTTGTGACAGGGGTTGTAGATGAACAGATGCTGGTGAAGGAGAGCAGTTATTTAGGAATCTGTTGCATTAGGCCCAAAAGTCAATGTCTAAGCTGTGAGAGTGGCCAGTGGCTTGTGAGTAGGAAAGCATCCAGCTTCTTACTCTCTCAGCTACCTGATTCAAGGGTTGCATTTCCATGTTAACAGCTAATGTTGCTTCTACATGAAACAACGATTGTTTCAAATAAAATCTCATTAAATCCCTTTAGAAAATGATGCTGTCAGTTAGTTGCTTCGTCAGTAGTTCCTGACGTTCTTTATGTGGGACAGCTGCATTGCAAAATCCAGGCAAGTCTCTAGACACTGTGTATGACTGTTGTAATCAAGTATGTCTGAACTTCCAAGACACCCTCAGCTGTTTTATAAGCTTTCAGGTGGGTACTCACCTTCTTACAGTGTAGAATTTCTCCTAATGCATCCTTAAGCACTATTTCTCTTGACACCCCGTGCCTGTTCAGTATTCAAGAGACATTTGGGTAATGCCCTCAGTGACTTGCTTTGACTGTTGGTTATCCCTGAAGTGGTCAGGCAGTTGGACTTGATCTTGGTAGGTCCTTTCTGGCTTAACTACTCTACTCTTACTGTATTCATCAGAAGTGATAAACTTGCTTTTCTTTCTCTGCTAAGTTGTTTGTTTTTCCCACTACAAGTTTTCAGTTTGACATTTCCATCTGGTTGAAGTACAAGTTATTTTTAAATCTGTGGAAAAAAATACACCCCACAATTTCTTTACGCTATAACAATGCTACTAAAAGCGTCTGAATTTCATTGTTTTATTCTACAAATAGTGGGATCTTGACTTCACAAAATAGGTAAAATTTTTGTCAGAAATTTATATGGATTTATAATTTTCCCTAGATTCTTTTATCTGCAAAGCTGATACTATCTATGAAAATAGCTTTCAGTAGAGATAATTCTTTGTAATTATGGAAATAATAATTTTGTTTGACATTTTAAAAATGTCATTCAGGGTACACAATTGAGATGACACATTTTAATAACATAAAAAGTTATAATTTTGATCAAAACCTAGCAAATAACCTCATCTAGGGGAAACTTTGTGAGAACTGACATTTGAATCAGGGGGTAAATCTATTCCTCTAACACCACTGGTGCAGCTTTCTTATTGCTTTAGACACAGCTGAGATAATTGATGGAGTTGGGTAATGCAGCTGTGTGATGAGGGACTGTTTATTGTAAAGTCTGGCAAGGAGAAGGCAAAGAAAGAAGTCTGACATTTTCAGCACTGATGATTCAGTTTCCTTTCCAGTGAGAAACTGTTTTAAGTTTTGCTCCATGAGTAGAAACAGTGGAAGACAGAAATGAGTGTAGTTGGTTCCAGAAAGATTGCTAATTGATGTTTCACAGCTCTTCTCTATGGATGTTCAATGGCAAGATCTGTGCAGTGCTTCTGAAGCTAAATGTTGTCAAACTTGCAAGCACCTGTGATTTATTTAACATATAAATGGAGAATAAAATGTGGCTGGATACCTTCTAGTCCACATATGTTAAAAATTAAAGTAAATCAAAATAAATTTACTCAGTAGTATGAACTTCAGCAAAACAATTGTTAAGGCAAAAAATTCACAATAGTCAGTACAAAAGGATAATTTTTCTTCCTTCTTTTACTTTTTTTCTTTTGAGGTTAAGATGAGAGCTGATGCTGGCGCTAAAAATCATCGTCATGTCATTTGCAAAGCCACAATAATGACTTTTAAATAGGGTGAGACATACTTCTGTGATGTCACACATGCACAGTAGGAGAAAAACAATCTTTAATATCCTGTTTTAATCTGATGGATTAAATGAAGGCAGAGACTTTCTTTTTTGCAATACATAGTTAGGTAACTGAGCAATTAAGTTCATGTTTGTTTATACCTATAACAAAAAGCTCAGTGCTTTTGGGATGTGAACCTATTGTGTCGTCTTTGAGTCTCGTTCAGTTGTGGTGATGTTTTTTTTTTATTAGAGAAATAATTTTATTTTAAAGCAATCATGCATTGTAGATATAACTAGAATTTTGTAAAGGAGTTGGTTAACATGCGGTAGTGGAAATGCTAAGCCTTGGCTTGAAGAAGTGATTGACCACCTAGTAGGAAGGCAGAGCCAATCCAAGGGAACTGCAATGCACCTGACTGGTCACAATGGATGGAGCCTGGATCACCCCTTCCCAGAGCTCATTTAAGAGTTGGTTGTAGAAGCAAGGGTATCTTGCTGGAGATCCCTCCCTAAAAGAGGCATTCTGAAAGTAAGAAGATTCTTTTGTTTCTGTGCCTGTTGCATTTGAACAAGTTCAAACTTCACTTGCTGCAGCATAGGACCTTGCCGCTTTGTTATCATTGCTGCGCTTGTCATCGTGTTGTGGCATTAAACGTACGTAGAAAAGGAAGCGCTGAATAGATTTATATGTACAAAACAATTGTAGTAAAAAGCAATTACACAATAATGGGCTCTGAATTTGTTGTTATACATTAGAATGAGATCTTGATGTATCATAACTCTAGAACAAAATCAGCTCAGCAGCAGTAGGAAAAAAATAGAATATTATAAATCACTAGGAGGTAAGAGAAAATGCTATGATATCATTGCTGAAACTTATGGTGTGGCTACATCCTGAACACACATGGTTGAAAGAACATCTGCACGCACATGCGGAAGAAGGAATCACTGAGTGCTGTAAAATAGAAAAGAGCATTTCTATATCTGTAAGTCTGAGTTGCAGTTATTTTGAGGTGAGAGAGAATTCCAAGGAAGCAATTTATGCTTCCTGTCTTTTTGAGAAGGCTGTTACTGCTTGCTCTTGGAGGCTGGCTGTTGCAATAAATAAACCTTTGGTCTGAATGGAAGTAGCTTTTCTTAAGTTTCTCAACTAGGTTTCGCTCTGTGTGAATTAATTATATCTCTAGAGAGGGATCAATAGAGTGAGAACATGTATTAGAATATATTATTAGCTGAAAGACTTTTAACCCTTCCCATTTTTCTTCTTTCATACATCTGTTTCTCTAACACAGTCACATCTCCTTGGCTGTTTTGCAGTGTTAAATGCAACTCTTTTATCCTTTTCTTGTAAAATAGTCTCTCTCTTTCTATGTTTGTAAAGTAGAAATAATTTTCCCCACCTGTTGTAACTTGAGTGCAATCGACGTGAATACACCTGAACTGTTACTGACTACGTTAGTTCTCAGGAAGCCTTGCTGATGGCTTGTACAGTGGTCTGGATCTTCTTCTATCTTCTCTAATCTGAGGTGGAGCACAAACAGGTGAGCATTAATGGGCTCCGTCTAGCTGTGAGTGGCCAGCTGCAGGCACAGCACTGTGCTGCTTAAGACCTTTTGGGCCACAGATAAAGTAAGAATCTCTGCTGCTTCTTTCTATGCCAGCCAATGAGTGTTTCACATGTGCCACATCTTGTGTCTGTGAGTCAGCCACTTGATGCACTCAACTGTGTGTGTTTACAGATGTTCACAATTTGAAAATGAGATCGTAATTAGGTAAGCTCTCTGGTACAGGCAAACTACGTTTACACTGTCTTTCTGAAAGAAATATTACAAACTGCAGAAAAATGTAATTTAAATGACTTTTTATTCTTTGCTGTAGTTTCCATAGTGTAATTCTCAGCACAGGTTGGAATTTTCTATTGATAGGTCTTCCTTAGAATAAAGAAAATGGCAAGGAATCATGCCAACCTTTGCTTTCCAAGATTGTTCTAAGACTATTTTAGAAAGGTCTGGTAACAAATAATGAGCTAAAATGGAAGCATTTGTGTTTATGTTTAGATGGTATTATTGTGGCCAGCAGGTCAAGGGAGGTGATCCTCCCCCTCTACTCTGCCCTGGTGAGGCTACCTTTAGAATACTGCATACAGTTCTGAGCTCCACTGTTCAAAAGACAGGGATCTCCTAGAAGGAGTCCAGTGGAAAGCCACAAGGTAAAGGGCCTGAAGCATCTCCCATATGAGAAAAGGCTGAGTAACTGGGGTCTGCTCAGTCTGGGAAAAAGAAGACTGAGGGGACATCTGATGAATGTTTATAAATATCTGAAAGGTAATGGCAGGGAAATGGTTGAGACCAGGCTTTTCTCAGTGGTGCATAGTAATAGGACAAAGAGTAATGACCTAAAACTTGAACATAGGAAGTTCCATAGTAACACGTTGAGAAACTTCTTTATGGCAAGAGTGATAGAGCACTGGAACAGTTTGCCTGGAGAGGCTGTGGAGTCTCCTTCTCTGGAGATACTCAGGACCCATCTGAACCACCTACCTGTGTGACCTATTGTAGGGAACCTGCTGTAGTAGGGTTGAGGGTTGGATTTGATCTCTTGAGGTCCCTTCCAACCCCTGTGATTCTGTGAGCAGCAGATAAGGGCGAGTGTAGGCTCTGTGAAGGGACACTGACCTTTACCTCATCAGATGAATTTTTCTTCATGTTAAGGGCAAATTTGCTTTCTTATATCACATAGAATAATTTTGTTTCTTTTTTTCTTTTTTTTTTTTTTTTTTTTTTAGGGGAATTGCAACCTATTGTTTCTTCATCTTATTGTCGCTTTTAACACAGCATTTCTTATTTGATATTCAATTGATATTTGAGCATTTGCATTTTCTTTTATGCTGTCTTAAATGCTTTCTTGGTTTTTTTTTGTCTCCCATGTTTTAATGTATAAACCTCAGGACTATCTTTTGTCACATTGCTGGTAGGGTATTCTCAGAAACAACTTATAATTTTGCTTGAAACACTATATTCAAAGATATGTGTATTCATCTTTTCCTTCACAGGTTTAGTACTTTGGCTTTGTTTGTATTATATTTTATAGGACTTAAAAAGCCAATGATTAATACGAATGAAAATATAATCAATAGTTAATCCAACATTACTTTTTCAGGTGCAGGTTTTTGTTTTTTTTTAATCTACTAGTTCTTGCAGGTTACTGCAAGATGTTGATCTGTGGGCTGATTACAGCAGGCTTTGGGTTCCGATAATGTCACTGGGATTTTTCTTGTGAAACTTCTGTGTTGGGCCCTTGTAAGCAGCATAGATCTGATTTTTCCCTAACTGCAGTATCCACTTCTGATATGCCCCCTGCTTTGTGTGTGTGTGGAGGAGGGACTCTATAACATTTTAAAATTTCATTTTAATCTTTTTTGTATTTTAGGATCTTGACAGTGCTAAAATGGCAAGACAGAGTTTGGAAATGGACATCAGAAACCTCCAAGATAAGTTCAAGGCTAATCAGAAAGCCTGGGAAGCCTCGAAGCAAGAACTTCATAGCCTGAAGAAATCTTTCAGTGAGCTGGATGGAAGTTTGAAGAGCAGCAAAGAAGAAGCCAAGACTGCTCAAAGCTCTTTAGAGGCTTTCAGACAGCAAATCGCTACCCTTCTCAGTAGCAGCTCGCTAACAGTTACACCCTCTGAGAAGGACATTTTGAAGAGAGTCCAAGAAATAAACTGCAAAGAGAAGAGTGAAGAGAGAGTAAGTCAGCACTACTGCACTGCTCCAGAGTGTACACTTATTTTCTTTGACTGTCTTTTCATTTTTCAGTAAAATCACACAGATTTATCTGAGTATTGTTTTCTTCTGCTTAGGTTTTGAAATTGCAGAAACTTTTGATTTTGTTGACTGTTGATTTGAGATACAGAGCCAAAAGCGTTTATTTTGTATTAAGTAGAAAGATGTCAGAAATTAAAGTAGCAATAAGTTTGTTAGCAGAAAAAGGCAAGGATCTTTCAATAAACTGTCCAACTTGAAGTAGAAGCTAGCCAGCATTATACTCATTTACAAAAATGATATGAGAGAAGATGCAACAGGCTGCAGTACTCAGTACCTGGAAAATTCATGGAAAGATTGTCCTGGGTATTCTTGAAAGGCAGTTGAAGAACAGAGCCAATATTGGACATACTCTGCATGGATTTATAGAGGGAAATCCTGCCTTAGTAATTTGATCTCATTCTAGGATAAGGTTCATGCTACACTGGTTAATGAACTGGCTCAACAGCAGAGCTCAAAGGGTCATAGTAATTTGGGCTACTTGTGGCTGGCCACTAGTAGTGTTGGCATGGTTAAACATTGGGGCTGCTTCCATTCAATATTTTAATAGTGATATAAAGTCAGGAATGGAGTCCATCCTCAGCCAGTTTGCTGATAATACATCAATTTAGATGTGCTGGTGACTCTTTAGAAGGACACGAGACCTTACAGAGTGAGATCTAGATGCATTGGAGCATTGAGAAATTAGTGTCAGCATGAAATTCAACAAAGGAAAATGCCAGGTTCTGCCCCTGGAATGGTGTAATGGTGGGCAAAGATGCAACCTGGGAGGTGAGTGGCTGGAGAACTCTCATCGGAAAGAGATCTGGGGATGCTGATGACAGTCGGTTCAGCATGAGCCAGCAAAGTGTTCTGGCAGCCAAGAGGGCAAACTACATTTTGGGATAGCCAGACAACCAAAAGAGGTGGTTCTTCCACTATATATAGCATTAGTGTGGCCTCACCTGGAATACTGGGTGCAGTTCTGAGTTACACAAATGAAAGAGGTGTTAAAGACCTTGAAAGCATCTGAAGAAGTGTAACAAAGTTGGTAACAGGGCTAGAAGGCATGTCCTGTGGGCAGAGGCAAAGGAAGGATACTTGAGTTGCACAGTCTGGAGAAAAGGAGACCAATGAGTGACTTCAGTACTCTCTGCAAGTTCTTGAGGAAAGTGCTAGTCTCTTCTCCCTGGCAATCATTGACAGGACCAGTGGGAAGAGAACAAAGCTGCACCAGGAGAAGTTCAGACTGGATATTATAGAAAACTTCTTCACCATGAAGATGATCAAGCACTGGAATAGGATTTCCAGAGAGATGGTTGATGCTCCACGTCTGTCAGTGTTCAAGAGGCACTGGGACAATGTCCTCAATAACATGCTTTAATTTTTTTCTCAGCCATGAAGTGGTCAGAGAGTTGGAGTAATGATCTCTGAAAGTTCAATTGAATTGTTCTGTTCTGAATGGGAGTCATTAAATTTACTGGCAGTTTAAATTGGTCTGCAGTACTGCTGCTGCTCAAGATAGGTAATTTCAAGATTAGCCCTATTGTGAATACAACCCAGAAGTAAGAGCAGGACAGGTAGATATAAATCTAGCAGCTAAGTATCTTGATGCTGGAAAGTAAAAATGTGCTGATGAATCAAGTCTTGCATAAGGGAAGAAGTGTTGGAATTAAATTTTTTATTCTCTGTCAGGATGTTTCTATAAGCAACTTGCACTTGCAAACTAGATAATTAGGATCAGGAAAAGACAGTGGAAAAGACAATGCAAAAATATGGGAGGGAGAAAAATACATTTTGAGTCTTTTGATGCCTACCCTAGAAAGCTTCTTTTGTTTTTACCAAAAAAAAAAAAAAAAAAAAAAGCTTTTGTTTTTTAAATCATTGCTGCTTCTCCTCTGGGCATCTGGTGTACGGGATCATGCTGTCAGGGCTGCTGTCAGCAGAATGTTCAACTTAGCATCTGCTGTGTTTGACTTACCCCTGTATGTGCACTGGTCAAATGGACCTGTGAAGAGTTGGAATTTTAGGATGCCAGTGAGAAATATTATTCACTGTATCTGCAGTAAGATTTTCCATGAAATCTGAAATGCTCTTGAAGATTGTCTCAAATTGTGGTGATTTAGGCATCTGAACAGCTTCTGAGATCTTAATAAGCTGTATAGTAGCTGTTAACATTAATATTAATTTAAAAAAAAAAAGGATCCCAGGATATACTGTAACAAGGTCCAGTGATAGATATTCTGTTGCAGGGCTAAGATACTACTTTGAATCACTATTACAGCAGTTATAACAAAATGTACATTGAATGTTTGGACATCTCTCAGGTTTTTTTGTAATTAATTATTTATGACATACCGAAAGGGTTCATAGGGAGCTGACATCCGTGGCAAGCAAATGTCATCAGTTCACACAGAACTCAGCACTGCTATGAGATCTCTGAGCTCAGGTTCATTGCAGATTTATTGCAGCAAATTCAATTCATATGGTTGAAATTATTTCTCTTGACTACCCACCTATCTGACCTCAGATAGGAATGGCTGACCAGGTGGTAGATTATTTCGTTTATATCAGTTTTTGCTTCTTGATATAACAGACGACTCATAAGTGCTGAAACTGATTACTGTGCTGAAACTCTTATTACTGTGCTCATTACAATCTCCTGTTCTCTCACTAACAAGTCTTTTAATGATTTGTCATGTCATTCTCATAAATGCATATTTAATATTAGGATTTACCTGCTTTTCTTTTGTTGACACAATATTCCTGTACTGAGAATCAAGACTTTTGCTATACACAGGAATGTTTGTGAACATTGCAATTTACAGTACCATCTTCATAATATTTTGAGGAAGATGGGCCCCGCATATGCTTCTTTCGTTGTTCTAAACAAAAGAATGTGTGGGAAATGAATTATATTCATGCACACAGAGTAATGTGCACAGTGGCTTTCAGCTGACCAAAAAACCCTAACCAAACGGAATGTGAGAAAGTACTAGGACAAAAAAGTTAAAATTTAAAACATAATTATGCTGCAGTATATATCCATGGCTGCTGTATTCTGTGCAGCATATAAAGTTATGATAATGTAATTATTTTTAAAAAGGGCTTTTAAATAACGCAGGAAAAGACTGTGATTGTGTCTAGAGGCTTCCATGCAGTACAAGATGAGCTCAGCTTGGGATGGTGAGTGCAATGCAGAATAGAGTTATCAGCTATGAAAAAAAAAACCAACAAAAAAACCTGTGCATATAAAACAGGAAATTTAAGATAACATCTTACCAAACCAGAATATTTCCATTGGGGTTGAACCCAGCTATCCCCAAGATGTGTCTGGAAATCTTGAATTTCTTGTAACTCAAGAAACAAAAGGAACCTTTCTAAAATAATCTGGTAGTTATACCAGGAGAAGGAGCAGGAAATGTGCGTGGTGCACAAATGATGGGCACAGGAGGTTAAGATCATAGAATTATAAAATATCCAGAGTTGGAAGGGACCAGCTCCTGGCTCTGTGCTGCACCACCCCAAATTCAAACCTTATGCCTGAGAGTGCTGTCCAAATGCTTCAACTCTGTCAGCTTGGGGTCATGCCGACTGCCCTGGGCAGCTTGTTCCATGGCCATTGCCCTCTGGTGAAGAACCTTTCCCTAACACCCAGCCTGACCCTCTCCTGATGTAGCTCTTGTGCCATTATGGGGAGATCAGGACCACAGGAACAAAAAATGTATCCTAATTAACTGAATACAGGCACAAGATGCACCTCTGTTTTAGGAAATCCCTGAACTGTTGATTGTTCCTGTGTCAGGGATGAAGGTTACTCTTGGATGCTCTTGCAGATAAACTAACAGTGTTGATTTTGGTCTCCTTCTGTTTCTGTGGTCTCTTGGGACCTTCATAACCCATGTGGCCAGGCTGTGCGCACAGCCCCTCTGCAACCCGGGAAGGAATCCTGTGCCCACAGGCAGACACTCAAGCTACTGAAAACAGTTTCTTCTGCTGGGTGACATACAGTGCAGAAAAGTGTGAAATATGTATAAGTGTACTTGCAGTTTTATTGCAGTTTAGAGTTTACTGAAGTTTAGTATTTTCTACTGCTGTACAAGCAGCAGTAATTTCTCAGTTGTTTCTTAGGTAGTTAGGATGTAAACTATTGTGTGTATTGAATTATGATCTAAGTTGGAAACCTTTCTATGCCATTAAAATTAATGGCAGTGTTGTGTGTGTGTTATTCGTTTTATCAGTGTGAGGCAGAGGAGTTTAAAATGAAGAGACAAGTGAAGAGGAGTACCTAAGTTACAAACACAATGTAATAATTCATCTAAGCAGAGGCTTATATGACAGTAGGAAAAGGAGAGATGGAAAGAAGGATGCAAGCAACTTTTTGGATGAAATTGAGCCTTCCATTAATTGGCAGAAGTGTAACCAGATGCTTTCAAGTATTATATTATTTATAAGTAGTTTAAACTTAAAAGCCATTATGTTTTAAGTAAGTTCTGCAGAGTTAACATAGTGCTTGAAGTGTTTTCAGAAGGACTAATCTAGTTTCTTGTTGTACAGTTATACGCTTCTAGCCTTGTGTTTTGGCTAGATTACAGAAATCTTTTTTTTTTCTGAGCAAACTTTTCTAGTTAAAGACAGGTTAACAGCTGAGAGGCACTCTTCTGAGATTTAGCTATCCATATCTATGTTCTCACCTACATGCTGCATGTGTTTGCTAAATTGTTTGTGCATGTTTTTCCCATTTAATTGCTTCATAACTTGTTTTTGGTGCTACAATGTATTTGCTGGTTTGCTAACAAATCTGGATGGGTTGCATCTAAGCTCTGGGTTGCAGCTCTAAGCTGCAAATTTGGTTTGACTCATCTTAAATATTGTTTTGCTGCTTACTTTTGGGTGTCTTACATCACCAATTTTGCCATTTGCTCTTGGTGGATACAGCAGATTTTACAGCTTTTTTTTTTTTAATTTGTATGTTTGTGTTTTTTTTAGAATTATTTTATCCTTTTTTAATAATTTGAGGATATATCTTGTGCACCTTTTTAAACCTACGTAATACTGTATCTTTTGTTGACTTACTTTCTCCACAGGTGGTATCTCAACTTGAAGCCCAAATAGCTAAACTGACTGAAACTTTGGAAGATCAAACCAGATCATACCAAGAAGCTCTGGAGAGAAGCAGAAAAGTTGAAAAACAATCTGAGACTTTCCAAGATCAGTTGAAACACTTGGAAGAGGAGCTGCTCTCTTTATATATGATACAAGATGGTTTGAAGCTTGAGAAACAAAAAGTTGGTACACGTGTTATTTTATTTTGCATAAAAATCAGTAAAGTCTGAGATAATATATCTAACTATTGCATCGATCACTTGGGTATTACTCAGCAATGCAAGTAGTGTGAATTAGCAAAGTAAGGCTTTGTGTAGCAAGTCATAATCTATTTTCTTTAACTGACCGTTCTAGTTGGAAAAGGTGGGTTCAAAATTGATTTAACATGGAGGATGGAAAAAAAAAAAAAAAGGAAGAGATCAAAAGAAAGTCTCTACATATATCAGAAGTCTTTCCAGGTTTTTTTGAATTCAGAGCTTTTTCATGTTTCTGTAATATATCATCTGGTCCACAATCTATAGAAATCTGCAGTCCTTGGTCCTCACCGCTGCTTTATTAATTGCATGAGAACACACTGATAGCTTGAAACACATTGGCATACTGAGAATTTGAAAAATGATAGCTGAACCAGCAACCCAATGCAGCTAAGAAAGACAAAGTGCATGGCAGATGTTAGCATATTACCAGGGAAAGATCAGTGCTAAGTGAGTTGAATTTGCCAAAAATCAACAGTTTGATGCTGTTTTGTATTGGTCAATGATGCAATAATTTCTGTATGAAGCATCCACCATCTTAAGAGCGAACTAGAAAATGGAACTGTTCCTTCCCTTCTGTTTCCTCTGTGAAGAACACGTGGCAGTAGATTCTTAATTTCTCTCAGGATTTTACTGCAATAGAAAGATTTTTCTCCCTTGTTGATAATCAGCTTTGCTGCCGCCTTCTGCTGTCTTTTTAAGCTTTTTGAGCCAGAAACATCATGGGGGGAAAAAGCCTGATTCTTGCTATGTTTTATCATCTTCAGTTCAAGCAGTAGTTATGAAACTGTTTAACTGTTTTTTTTTTTTTTTTTTTTTTTTTTTTAACCTGTTATTTATTTACAATGGTTATGATCTGCAACAGAAGTAAGAGAAAACAAAGGCGAGTAGAGTTCATAGTGAGGATAGCTGCCACTAAGTGAGATGCAGCTGCCCCTTCTTCCTCCTCCCTGTCAGCACAAGGTCTTAGGTAGGAACTGAGGTCAAAAGCGAACACGTGCACCTAGTGCTTCTCTTGCTGCAGAGGAGCAAAAGCCAATCTAGTCTGATAAGAAAATAAAAACATTAGGTCTAAATATTTATGAACAAATATGTTGCCTATATAAGGACAAGTAAAGAATTTGTAGATTTTTGGGGTGTACAAGTTAAAAATAAATTCTTTTAGGAGTTTGGATATGAGTCTGTTGGCCTTATATAATTGGTTCCGAGTAGGGGGAATTGCTTTTAAATTATTCATCAGGAATTTTAATGAAATTTTGTTATTCTTTTTCCCACTGTTCCACATCTCTTAGTATATGAAATTTCTGGAACAACTTAATGAAATGATGAAGCTGAATAGCATTGCAGCAGAGGTTGGATTTGATATGAATGTGAATGCAATTCTGGCTCGGGTAGAGCAATTAGTCAAACTGGAAGGTGATGCAGTGATTGAAAGCAAGACTGTGACATATAGCCTAAGAAGGAAGGTAAGCAAAAAACACTATTACTTTTTGTTTTCAAGGCAAGACACTGTTATGGCTAGGTTTGCGTGGTGGCTTGCTAAAGGCAAAAGATTGAAACGTCACAAATGTACATAGAATACTAAAGATGTCTATTACTTTACATAAAGAGAAGATAAATATTTGCAAACTATGCAAACGAGTTGCATATCTGAGCAAATAAAAATGCTGCTAGTTAAATGTACGAGACTGTTTTTCTCAGTTTCTTAAAAAAAACATAATATGTCTAATTATGTACTTTTTAATACATTATTACAATATACTTCTATAAATAACTCCTATTTATGTTTAAAATTAAAAATATCTAATGGGAAGGTGTTGATATTTAAATCTAAAAGGATCTGGTGGGAAGGAGGGAATGTTACGCAGCTTCTCTAGATGCAAGTAGAACTGCAGCGTTTCAGGAACTGTGGACATCTTGGAGCCTTGATAATCTGTGCAGATTTATTAGACACCAGTCGGTCACCCTGTTGTGACAGAATGAAGTCTTCTGATGTTAGGCTTATAGTGGTTTGAAACTTAGAATGAGTTCTATTTAAGGTTTAAAACCACTTCTTTTTTTTTTCTTTTCTTTTTTTTTTTTTTCCTTCTTTTTCTGGATATAACTACCTCTCTGAGTTAACACTAACATTCCTCTCAGGGTACAGCCTGACAAATTCAGTTTTGTAAGCTGAAAATAAGTCACTTCCTGAGCACCAAAATTACAAAACTAAGCTGCTGAACTTTGTACTGGAGTAGTGGATGAGTGTATTCTTACTTCTGTATGATGACTCTATTTGCACACTAGCCTTAATAAAGTGGTTAAATGTGGAAATATCTTAAACTACTGCAGTGGAATCACCGTCTGCCTAAGGAAAGTCTGTTGCATCTTTCATTTGACAAGTTCCTTATATCTGGGACAATCTCTGATGTTCTGAACTATGCACAAGTGTTTGTGTTCAAATAGCATGTGGTCTGCACGTAACTACATTTTAAAAGGTAGTGCTCAAGCTTAGGGATAGTACAAAAGGTACCAAGTTAATGTACGTATGTACATACTGCTTTACAGAAGCAGGATTAGGAGTTCAGCGTAAGCGTGCTGCAAGGAGATTGGATTTACACAACAACCTATGTAATGCCATTTACTTTCTCTCACACAAATTTCCTTGTGATCATAAAACTAGTTGAAGACTCAGAAAGAAAGACTTGAAAGCAAGGAGTTGCACATGAAACTTCTGAGGCAGAAAATAACCCAGCTGGAAGAAGAGAAACAAATAAGGACATCACTAGCTATGGAGAGGGATGAGGCCAATCTCACTGTCAGAAAGTTGCAAAAGATGATAGAGAGATTACAGAAGCAGCTTGATCTGGCAAGGGAAACGAATACTGATCTCAAAGCCAAGCTGTCTGAAGCCAATGAACTTAAGGTAAGTTGAAACATTACATTTGTGCTTCTACCCATGTTTATGTTCCAACTGGATACAGCTGGAGTTCATTTACAATAAATGCATTAATGGAGAACTGCTATGTAGAAATCTATGTAGAAAAATAAAAATAATATGACAGTATATTTAGCAATTTGTCTTGATATGTTAAATAACAACTGAAAAACACCATGTAAATATTCAGGTTAGTGTAAGAAAAGTATGATACGTGCATCCCTTTCTTTCTCATCAGCATGTATGTAATCCTGTATTTCCTCTGCATTGATCACAGCAAATTTCTTCTTATAAGAGTGGGGAGTATTTTTTTTTTTTTTTTATACTGTAAAACAGGCATGATAAATTTTCATTATTTCCATGTTTTATTACCTTGCAATAGGTGGAAACAAGTACTCTGTGGTTGCTTGTCACCACTGGAAGTAAGGAAGACTTATTTTATACAACAGTGTCTTTTAGCTTGTGGATTAAAGCAGATGACTTTCAACTGAAAGATTTTCACCAGCCAAAACTCTTTTCCTGGATTATTTTCCCAGCAGCTAGCAGACAGTGAAGCCTCACTTTGGAGTTTTTTTTCTATGCAGATACATCTTTCTGCAAAACCTGCAGAGAACTAGCTGTTTTTTGAACAATAGTCTGCTGACTGAGTTAACACTGGCCAGTTTGCTTTAATAACTTCTCAGTCCACACATGCATGTCATTTCCTCAAGAATCTGTATTAAAGCGCCTACTGCTGATATCCTTACTTGCTCATACTACACAAAATTTGTGGCAAATTTAACATTATTTTACAAATTGCTTGTTGCAGATCCAGACTCTAGAGCAGAACAGAACAATAGAAGAACTTAATAAGTCTCAAGGCAAATTGGAAAGAATGAAGGAAAAAGCTGAGAAACAATTAAACTCTGTCAAATCAGAACTTAACTTAAAGGAACAGAAAGCTACTGAAGAAAAAGAAAAAGCCAAAAATATGTTAGAAGTGGTTTCCAGTGAAATGAAGGTACTTAAAACAAGCCTTGCAGAATTAGCAAAAAGGGAAAGACAGGTAGGTATCCAGCTATTCTACAAGTGTTGGGTGTCACTTAGGACAAAAGAATGTGATGTAGGTGGAGCAGTTATCCAGCTGTGCTGACAACTTGTGTGAATAAGCAAGACAATACTGACTAGTGATTCAAAGAAGCAGAGCTCTTCCAGTTTAAATGCAAGGCAATGAAAAGTAAATATATTGCTTTTTTTGTCTTTGTGCACTGCAAAACATTTGGTTTACATCACATTTTGGAGAAGTGTAAAAATGCTTAAAAGTCCTAGTATCTTTAAAGTATGACTTTTTTTCTGTATATTGTGGTGAATAAAGCCTGCTTACTTTTTACCAGGTATATGCCACACAAAGGATTTTTTTTTTTCTTTTTAAGACAAGTGATATTGAATGCAACTATTTTTAGTTGATTTGTGACACATTAGCGTTTTCAAAGTTTGAGTGAGGAAAAACTTTTTGGTTACTTATCCATAAGAAACACAGTGAGTGCGTATAAAGATTATGAGGTGCGAGAAATTGAAGTGGGAGACATGCTAGTAAATCTGTTCCATAATAGTTTCAGTAAATTAGGAAATATGAATGTAATTGCTCCATCATATTCTGTTTAATAAAAACACAGCATTGTTACTAAAGCCAATGGGATATTTACTTAACATCAATAATATGTCATTTTAATATTCTAATCCCAGTTGCTTAGAATGTTGTCAGTTTTTCTAACTAAAATTCTTACATTAGTTACTGGTCTCGACAACAATTCTGGATTATATTTAAGAATGCTTTTTCCAAAGATGAATCTGAAAAAAATATTGTTTTACTCCTGTTGGAACTAGAAAAACAACTGAGGATTTTTCTGGAAGGGTTTAGCATTCTTGTTTTATAATGAATGTTGGAAATTTGGCAGAGAAATATCATTTCTTTGTTTGTCTCACGTGGTAGCTAAGCATCCTGCACACAGAAAAGGGCATTAATTATATTCAGAAAATTATACTCTGTAGTCATACATTGAGTACTTGTTAAAATGACACAGATGTTGTATTTGTACTGAGTAAACATGAGGCTTTTCAGACCACTTGAATGCCATTGAAGTGTTCTTTGGCCAAATGTGAAAAACATGGGAAAAGTGAGGTGGGGTACAAAATGCAGAATGCTTAAGCACAGCAAATTACTAGCTCTTCATTAACCCAGAAAGCTTGAGGAGGAATATCAGCTTGTATTTCACTGATGCCTGTGGTCACCTGTGTTACAAGAATGTTTCAAACACTTGCAGGTGGAACCACACTGCTAAATGGGGAGCTAAGCTGTTTGTAAAACCTGTGACTGATGCTTATGTAGCATTGATGAAAATTAATGCTATTTTGCTAATAAGAGATCTGCCAGTAATAAGCATAATGTACTCTCCTGCATCCTAACAGTTTACTTACTAAAATGTCCCCTTGAGGTAAACATACTGTTGCCAAGTCAGATAATTACAAACTCTCTTGCTAATAAACACTTCAAACTTCTGAAACATCACCCAAGGAAAGTACCTTCCATACCCCCAACTCAAAGTAATTCTTTATCTGCTTTAGACTTGCTCATTCTTCCTTGCTGTGGACACTAAGCAGGGACAAAACTCTCTCTTGTTCAGTAAAAAGTAATGAATGCAGATGTTAAATTTTTCTCTCAGCACACACGCATATATTTAGTGAGAATATAAGCACAGTATATCTGAATGTGTATGTTAAGAAAGGCGTAAGAAACTGAAATTACTGTTGCCTTATGGAACTGTTCATATGCTTAGGTTGACTTGTACGTGCATTCGAGTGTTTTCTTTTGTGTGTGTGTTTTTTTTTTTTTCCTGAGGATATAATTATGTTTAATTTTGCATCACATTGTAGTATTGAATAGATATTTTCTATTATGTGAAAATTAAAAATATGCAGAACTGCACTACTGCCAACTGCTTAAGACAACAATTGTTCTTGTGCCCAGAACATACCCAAGTGAAAAATAAGGTTCAGGTTGGAGTAGTTGAAAATGAACTGGTACTTGGAATTGAACAGTGTTGAATGTTCTTCTCTGTGCTTTAGACTAGTCTAAAGTCTGGAAGATGATAATAAATTAGGAGATGCCATTGACTTTCTTATGGGTAGAGAGGTCCTGAAGAGGCATCTTGACCAATTGGAGGGTTGAGCCATCACCGTCTGTATGATGTTTAAAAAGAACGAGTGCTGCATTCTGCACCTGAGACAAGATAGCAGGGATCCTATTGGGTCCCTCTGACTAAAGATATTCTATGATTCCGTTAAGTTGAAGAGGAAAAATTACCCTAGGTATTTCTGAATTTAACCAGTAATATGCAGGATAAAACTGAATTTTCACAACAAAAGGGCAAGATACTTCCAGATGAATGGCAATGCCAATTTCTAGGAAGATTTCAATAAAAGATCTTCAGCAGAGGTAATGAAGCATGTTTTAAATAATGTCTTTTAAGGTAGAATGAACAGACACACAAGAATTAACAAGCTTGAAAGGAAGAAAGCAGCAACAAAACATGGAAAACTTAGGCCAAAATTTTGGATGGGAAAGGAGACTTTTTAACATTGTGGGTGGAAAGCTGGGATAATCATGTCAAAGTTTATTGAATTCCTCTTCTTTATGCTAAAGACTTTTAAATGTTTCAGACTTCTGTGCATTGTTTTTAGGGGTGAAATATATTTCTCATTTAATTGTTTTTTGTGTCCTTATATGGTTTAGTACAAGCATTTAAAATTGTTCATAATGTACTTGCAGCATGGCATCTGCATGGGAGTATAAACATGCATCTTGCTTCACGTACAACACATGATAGATTACAAAAGATCATCCAGCATGTATCTCCTGTCACTCTAGTTCAGAGTTTTTAAAATTCAGATTTATGTCCCCTGGCTGGGCATTCTTATGTCTAAGAGTGCTGGCTGTGTTTGTCAGTTTGTGTGAGAATTTCTCTTTGCAAGTAACCTGTTTGCTACATTTCCACAGAAATGTTTGTTTTTGAGACAGTGTTGTTCTGTTAATGTGGAGAAAAAAATCTTCAATTTTAAGTTCACACAAATGGATGACTTAAAGGATTTTTAGGGGCTCTGTGTTCTTTCCTGTTTAGGCTATTTGCTGATGAAAGTTGCTGAATTCTCTCCGGATGTGTTGTTCATTCACTATAGTGAATTAAAATAAATTATCTTTGGCTGGAACACTGCACCACATATCTCCTGGCTTGGAGCTGGGGAACTTGAAGTTCGAATAGATAAGCATATAAGCACATTTCCTTGAAAAGGAACATTTTCCTCTTTTAAATTGTATATGGATCATAAGGGTTGTTAAGGTATCAATCGTCTGGGTGGTGTAATTTCACAGAACATTGTGAACATTGGTGAAATGTGACTTATAAGCTGCCTTATCCTGAGCTAAGTAAATCAGTGTTCATATTTGTTTGCTCTTCATGTTTTTGCCTTTTTATTGTCACAGTCACTAGTGATGATATTTACTTGTGGATGTCTATCCATTTGGAACTGATAAGAGAAACTGTTTTCTCTAAGTACCTTGCCAAAATTTCTTCACATGATATAATTTCAGTAGCCATGTACGGAAGAGCTATGCATTTATTTCCCAGGTTGCTTGAATTTTTACTCTATCCTGATTCCAAGTCGAAGTGAGATACTGAAATGTGCAAAGCCTCCACCTTTCTTCTTTCTTCTGCTGCCATTTCCACAATGAAGTGATGGGTAAAGAGCTGTGGTAGTGAGAGGTTGGGAACCTAAGGTCAGGACCAGCATCTTCTTACATGCTATGATGCATGCCTGCTAGTTTCCAGTTGTCTGTATAGTTAACTAGACCAAATACAGCTCCTCTTCCCATCGGTTCCTCAGTTTTCTCTATTTAATGAGTAGGGAATATATAATATGAAAGATGCTAAAATAACACTTGAAATTGTGTTTTTTTTCTTTTTTTCTTTTTTTAATCCTTAGCATCTCAGCTCTTGTTTCATTGCTTGAAGTATCCCCTAGTCCTTTTCAGCCCTCTGCATTGATGAACAGCAGAAATTTCGATATTTTGCACTGCTACTGTAAATGCTCGTGTCTGTATGTGTGCACATATGTTTTTTTCCATGTGTTCCTGTTCTTGGTAATTAACGCATTAGTAATTCCTCTCTGTTTGCTCTTGCAGCTGGCAGACTTCCGAGAGGTCATCTCACGGATGCTGGGCCTTGATCTTGCTAACCTAGCTCTGCCTGACTATGAGATCATTACACGTCTGGAAGGGCTGATTCACTTTCATCAGCACCATTTTATCCCCTGCGTCTGTGTCAAAGATGTAACAAGGACAGAAGATGAGTGCTTGGATAGAAACATACAGTTTCTTCATTGAAACAAACATTTTTGAGGAAACTAAAGTCATTTTTTCTTCTTCCCTGCCTACTAGACCAGCATAGAAAATAGGTCTTTATTTTTGTTCCTTCTTCTACAGATACTTGGGCTGATTTTCAGTGTTTCAGAGAGACAGTTAACAGCCAGCATCCTAGGGAGAGCAAACATATAATATTTTGGACATGAAAATGATGGGCAATATGTGAAAAATGAACAGCTTTCCAATTCCAGTGCAGAGTCACTGATGGCATGAGCTACCTGAGATCTGTTAACAATTTGGGCAAATACTAGCTGGTGAACATCAGCATTTGTGATTGTTCCTTGTGCTTTACTTCTTGGGTGACAGTGATGAAATAAAGTGGGGGCCATCCAGTTGCTATTTCTTTTGCAAAATGGGACTTCTCTGTGCCTTTTTATGCATAAGAACTTCAGTTTCAAGGCACCTGGAAAGCTGGCTGAGGGCTATCATGGTTTTGGAAAAAGGGATTTTTTTCTGTCATTTTTTTTCTTTAGTCTGCTCTTGAGTAAGAACAAAAAGTTATGCTTTTTCAGCAAAGGCTCTTTCACAGACTCCAGTCACATGCCTGGCATAGATATACAGTAGAATTATCTATAGTAAAATTGCATCATGACACTTTGAAAGTGTTTCTTGTACCTGCTGTGCTTCTTGGACAATTAATCCATAGGCCAAATAAGCATCAGTTCTGACTTAATACAAAGGTATTAATTATTACAAAGGTATTAAAAATACCCTCATCCATTACAGAAAATAGTTTCTAGTCTTGATTTTTCAGAAAAACCCAGATGATATGTCCAGAATTACCTTTTAATCATAAAAGCTGCTTGTCTATTACCCTTCCTGACTGTTAAACTTCATGATTTTAAGACTTTCAAACAATAAATATATTTTAATAGTACACTCAAAAATGATTCCGTGTTTCCAGTTGTCTCTTCCCATTATATATTTCATGCGGATAAGTAGAACAGTACAGATGACTTACCTATGTATGTATGACCATGGTGGACTTCCTATGGTATCTCAACAAATAATCATTCACTAAAACTGAGCACTATACGAAGACAAATGAGACTTTAATTTAAGAAGAAAAAAAAATTTAAGAGAAAAAAACCAAAAAAATATTACATTATTTTACAAAAGAATATTGAGATCTGGCTATGAACCTGGAATATTCTAGATTGCTTTTATTATTATATCTCTGAAGAATCATTTCTCATTGACTTGGCTTACAAAAAAAAAGTCATGAAAATATCCATTCTTTTGTGTTATCAATGGTTTTTTTAGGAAATGTAATAATTTATCTTTATGCTCCTATGTCTACTTGGATTAAAGTCAGTTCTCCTTCTTGTTTTAGAATGCAACATTGCTTTTCAGGTAGAGTTTAATAGAAGGAGTAATGACAAAGTTGAGTAGGCTTAAATTTATGAAAGCACTGCTTTCCAAGTACAATAAGTTGAAATGTAAATACTTTTATGCATTCTGGAAAAGGATGTAGAAATTTGCTAATTACATGAGAAAACACAAGTGTGTGTTTTGCTGATTCTTAGGGCATTCTATTGTTGTAAGTAACCAACAAATGTGTGTTCTTCACACACATTAAAAATATTAAAAATATATTTTATCACATTGTACGCATTTAATAAACTGCATTAAGAAATTAGGTCCAGTCAGTCCAGATAACAGCTGTAACTTTAATAGTCTCTGAGCTCGCAAATCCTAAAGTGTATGTGCATATTTGGCCATAATTCATGGTTAAGTTAGATGATTTCCTAGTGTCTGCAAAGAGGCTTCCAATCTGCTGCCATGTGCCATGCTCCTGTATTCTGCCCTCCCATGACCACTGTGGCACCAGCTGTCACCTTCCAGCCCCACCGGAGCCACCAGTGAAGTTCTCCCAGTTACTTCAGAGGAGGTGGGTATTCACATGAAGCTGTTGACAGCAAAGCTTTCTTGCTCTCTTCTACGCTATGTCAAAAGAAAGTAGAATAAGGGCTTTTTTATAGTTTAGCATTCATATTTCAGAAAATAGGATCTAATGTAGTTCATCAAGGACTATAAGCTCACAGCTGATTGTTAATATTCCCTATATTCGCATTACTTTTGGAGGAGCACTGACATCTTTGTTCCTTTATCCAAAGCGAATAGCAAAAAATATTTTAATATGAACAAAGTTCAGGTGATTTTTGGCCTGTGTAATGTAACTAACCACTGATCAAAGTTAAAACTGACTTACAAATTTCTTTTTTAACGTTTGTTTTATACAGTTTGTTTTGAAGGTAGTCATCCTTGGGGAAAAATTAACATTTGATTCATACATTTTTTTTTTTTTTTTTCCAAACCAATGAGAATGTGTTTCAGGCCATGCTGGCAAACACCTGCTTTAACTTGCATCATTATTGTTGGTGGGTTTGTTTCTATCAATCACAAGTATGGGATAAAGAGTTTATCTTAATTTCTCTTTTGCTTTGTTAGTTTGCTTTTACTGGAAATACATGTTAAAAAATTATAACAGAGAGAGATGATAGAAAAATTCTCCTAGATGCCATATTCCCCAAAACTTAAGTCATATTAAATTGTACTTTTGAAAATATACTTCTGAAGTTGACCATTTCTGTTGACTGTAAAAAAAAAAAAGAGAGAAAAAAAAAAAAAGGAGAAATGGAACAAAATGAATTGGAATTAACTATGGCTTCAGAAAAGAAAGATCTCTTATTTGGCTTCCTGTAATCCAATAATATCACAGTTTATTTAAAATGACTTAACTGTGTGGAAAATAAAAATTGGCAGGAATGTTCAAACAGATTTTCAAATGGTAGACTTCAGATTACTTTGTTCTTTTGCTGGAATAAGCAAGAATCCTGTAGAGCAGTGTTTGTTTTCTGGAAGGAATGAAGGATGAGTTTATAAAACTGTACTCATAATTATTCAAGAATAAGTGAGTCAGAAATAAAAATCTGTAAATGACAATTTTGCCTGAACAACAACAACAACAACAAAAAGATGACTTTTCTGATAAGCTTAAAATCATTAACGAGTCATGAGGCAAAGGACGACACTTGTTTTGAGATAAATAAAGCTGCTGATATGCATTTGCTTAGTTTGTATTCCCTGTGATTGCTTACGCTTTTGCAAAGTAGGAGAAATAAGGAAAATAGTATCGCATTGTGAGCAAATGAGGTTTGAGCTGTTCTATCCCAAGTAGAGAAATCCATTGCAAGAGGGCTTGTGCAGTCCTGAGGATGATAGTAGAGATGGTGGGGGCTAACTGAGCTGCAAGGTGGGACCTGTAGAGGATTAAGTCCCTGAGGAGTGTATGTAAAGAGGTATTTTTGTTAACTGATGAGGTGCGAATTCACAGCTTGTTTTTTCCTTGGAAATCACGAGGCTGCCTGCTAAGTGCGGTTCCTGAACTGGCAGTGTCCCCACAAGGCAGTAGATGGAGCCCACAGGTGAGGGTGATCAGTTCCGGCTGTCTGTCTGGGTATTTATCTGCCTCCCTGCCTAATGGCAGCCATGCGCAGCTGCGCTGCTCTCGGGCCACGTGCGGCAGCTCTGGTTACAAAACAAATGTGCAGCGGCATCTGTTGGATGCCTGAGGGTCTTTGGTGTTTATATGAAGAGTGTACTGGCCAGCAGAGCTGACTCAACGTTTTTCTCTCCTGGCCAAGTTTCCATACCATGGAGAGTAATCTGGCTGTGGAGAGAGGCCAGGGTGAAGTGGTGAAGTGACAGCAGCAAACTGATGCAGATGTTTGTGAAGTAGTCCATAGTTACTATTACAGAGGTACTGTGGCCACTAGAGTAGGTGAAGGAACCCTGCAGGTTGTGGTACGAAAGTCTCTTAGAGACTTCTTAGGAGATTGGTCTGAGCCAGGCTGCACAGAGCAGTGCTAGACTACTGCTAAAATTATTATTATCGCTGGTGCATAACCATTTTGATGTTGCTTGATTTTACATGCACTTATAACAATACTTACATGGTGTCACTCCAGTGCAAGACAGTATTAGCTAGAATATTAGCTAGGTCTGGAGAGCATGGATTGAGAACAGTCAATTAGAGGATGGACAGCAGTGTTTGGGAGTGTCCATTAGGAATGAAGGGAACTTGTGAGGTTCGTGCAAACCTGCAGTCATTGGTGATTTGCAGCTGCTTTTGAGGGTTTGTGGAAGGATGTGTCAGTGTTTGAGATGCATCTTGCAGGAATGGAGCTGAAATGGATTGACTTCATGTGGCTAAAAATATACTTGAAAATGACTTCCTTCTTTTACTGTGAGCAACTCTTCATTGCAACAGTTCAAACTAGCAGGCCTGAAATGCCATGTATCAAAAAAGAATAAATATTTAAAAAACTGTCAGTAAACACAGATGCATTTAGGCTGATGACCTAAGCAGCAAATAATGTTATGAGATCAGTATCTGTTGCCCAGAATAACTATTTGGTGATAAATCTTAACTGCAGAGAACTTCTGATCTGCAGATAGGCTTTGGGATAGAAATAGGAGAAACTGGAAACACTTGGAATTCTGCCCTTGATGCAGAAGAAAAAAGGGAAGCTGGAGCAGGAGGGAGGTGGAGACCTGCCTGAGGACTGTGGCCCAGTGGGAACTCGAGGTGAGGCAAGCAAGCCTCCCTTCAGCTTCATGAGGCTGGAGGAATGGCAAGGACTGTGCTGCTGCTTAGAGCTGGCCCATTCACCTGCAACATGCCTTACTAGCAAGGATAGAGATTCTGTGTCCCTCATTAGAATATCGACTTTTTTTTTTTTTTTTAGAATGGCATTTTTATTCTTAAACAGTAATTTTCAAATGTTGCTAATGTATTTTTTTTAATACTGTCTTTGTGGTGTGTGAATCAGGGATTATATTCCTCCAAAAATGTTCCCTCTCTGTTTTTCCTAAGAAACACCTGACTGGTTTGAGAGTTCAGTTTACATCCCTATCTATAGCATCAGTATCATTGCCTGCAACACAATTTGATGCCTCTCTTTACAAACCTTGGCTTATATATATTTTATAAATTCCCTCCCACCCTCCCATGTGTCACTGCTGCCACTGTAAGCCTTACAGGCATTAACGCTTGGCAGCACCGCAGTTGCCTGCTGCACCCCATGGTGGCAGGGCACTGGGCTGGACCACCCCACAGTGCTGGTACCTGCCTGCCTGCTCGGGCTGCCAGGGAACAAATCTGCCAGAGGCACGACTACAACATTGATTATTCTGTTTGAAAAACGGCAGTGTGTTCAGAGAGTGACTGCTTTTGTGTGATGATTGTGAAGGAACTGCCTTTCCCACTGGAAGAAATTCTGACCTGTTCCATTCCAGTAGTGGCCGAAGGTGGGGAGAAGCAAGAGCATGAAGATGTCGTAGGTGTCATGCGTCGCTGCTGCCTCAGTGAATCTGCCTGGCTTTGGTTGGTTGAACAACTTAATTGAAATTCTCATTTCAGTAAGTTATTCATTCCAGAAGGTCCGAGGAGCTGAGAATCTTATGTCTCTCCTCTGTGTTGGTGAATTTTCTTTAATAGTTTCTAAATGAAACAGAATGCTCTTCCATGAAAGGTAATTATAATGATACTGTCACAAAGACTTGCTCCACAACACAAACTGTTATATTTCATAAGTTAATGCTTCTTGCAGGAAAAAAAAATAATTGCCACATCCTTATCAACATCACCTCACAACATACGTAGTTGCAATTTGTTCTGCTCCTTTAAAAAGGAAAATTCCATGAATGTTAAAAATTATTCCCTTTTACAAATGCCAGTGCTCTAATAGACAGCTATTTATTGTTTGCCCACCTAAATCCTGCGACTAAGCCATCTTCATCGCAGTTACACGTGTTTAATGGCTTAACACTTGTGTAAAACTTTGTGAATATCAGGATTTCCCTTTTAAAAGGTGTAGGAGAT